CCCGGTTTGTCAAAACAACGAATAACTCTAAAAATGTTTTTACTTATTGCTCACGAATACTGCACTATTTACGTATTTTGATTATATCACTATGTATAGTACATGTCCGTTGTAAAACACACACTAGATTTTGTTCACAAGTAACTAAAAAGTAATGAATATTAAATAAAAACTACGGAGCGAAAGTTATTGCGTCTAATCGCAAAGGCGCGCGCGAGTATTTTCTTTATTATATACAATTATTATTCACTAACTGTAGCCTGAGATTCCATCCGCGCGAAATAAAAGAAAAATTATCCCTTCCCCTTCCCATCCTTTATAGGAAGGGAAATTATAATAAAATTAAGACAAAACAGTTCGGAGCATTTAGTAATAATTGCTACTAATATTATAAATGCGAATGTTTAGATGTTTGTTAGAAGATATGTCCAGAACTGTATGGATCTCGCTGAAATTTGTCATACATATAGAACATAGTCTGGAAGAATCGCGCCGTCGGAGTCGCGTGCTTCAACTAGTATTTACATAAGGGAATAAAATGTATGATTAGAAATCCCACATCTTAATTGGTATCAAGATTTTTTTTTTACTAATAATTTTATAAATTCTACGTTTTAAACGATTTTTTTTAGAAATATTCGAAGGAACCTTGTCTATTATTTATACTAACTTGGTTCTGCGTGGTCGCACCAAAAGCACCAAAACTGGGCGTCGTTGTACCGAAAGTAGGTGCTTGAGTTGTCGATGCACCAAAAATACCTGTACCTAAAACAAAAAAAAACACAAATACATAATACAATGACAAAATATCAAAACACATAGATAAATATATATAAATAACTGTATAGAGCATTTCATTATAATTTAATGAAGTCATTAAAATCATTAAAATTTTAATGAAATAATTAAAATCATTAAAAATTTAATGAAATCATTAAAATCATAAAAATTGTAATGAAATAATTAAAATCATGAAAATTTTAATGATATCATTAAAATCATTAAATTTTAATAGGTAAAGTAGGTAAAGTTTTTATTATAGGTAATACAGATTAAACCAAGAAACAATAACTAACATAATAAAATTGCACATAACTAAGAAATTAATTTTAATGATATAATAAAATCATTAAAATTTTAATGTTAAGATTAAAATTTAACTAAAATGTGTGAACATCAATATATTTTACGTACACCGGGTTTTTTTTCTTTAACAAAGTCACGTCACTTTCATTATTTACAATTTTTTTTTAATATGAAACGAGTCTTATTACTTACCAGTTGTGCTTGTAGCTCCAAATGCAGGCTTATTACCAAATAATCCTGTAGATGTTGTTTGATTTTGTGTATTCCCACCAAACGCAAACGTATCTGTTGAATAATTACGTATTAAAGTAGGTTTCCACTGTCAATATACTTGTTTAGAAACATGTATTTCAAATGAGGTCAAACTGAATGAGGTTATGAGGATGTAGAAGCTGCATCATCAGATCAGCTCCGCGTCATCATATATTGTCACGTGATTTACACATATAAGTAACATTTCGAGCGTTCTTTTTCTTATAAATAAAAGATGGCAAGCGAAATTGGATTTTCCGGATGAGGAGATACATGGGAAGGGAAAATATTCTCCTTTCTGTGCATCCTCTCCTTCATCGATTAAAGGTAGACATCGCATCTGCAATTGCGTATATCTATAAGCAACGGTTGCTTAGATATTTTTTGCCACCTTAATATAAAAAAAAATGAGACCTATACTAAATAAAAGTTTGGGATAAAATTAAGGTAATAAAGTAAAGGATTTTCTTATTAAACATACTCGTCTGTCCAAAACCAGTAGAACCCAAAGAACCTCCACCGAAAAGAGGAGCGCTAGTTGTAGCAGGTTGACCAAAAGCTGAAAAAACGTTATATTACAATTTTTATATATATAAAATATAGTTGTCGCCCGCGACTACGTCCGCACAATTAAATTATAAGTAGTCGTCTACATGTATGTCAATTTTCATGAAGATCCGTTGTGCCGTTCTGGAGATACCTTCGAATCCATCCATCCATTCAGACATTCGCATTTTAGATTAGTAAGAAAGTAAAATTTCGTGTCACAATGTATGTTTGCGATAAACTCCAAAACTACTGAACTAATTTTTATCAAATTTTGAAAGTATCTGTAATTTAGTCCAATTTGGAAGATAGGTTAGTTTTTATCTCAATTATTTTTCTTTTTAGGGTTCCGTACCTCATAGGAAAAAAAACGGAACCCTTATAGCATCACTTTGTTGTCCGTCTGTCTGTCTGTCAAGACCCTTTTTCTCAAAAACGCATGAAGGGATCAAGCTGGTATTTTTTATTCCACGCGGACGGAGTCGCGGGAGGCAACATAATAAAGCATAAACCAACTTCTTTATATCAAAAAATCTTAGCAATCACAGCATATTTTTGAATAATTCACTTTATTATAAAAAGCTCTATACTTAAGTCACGCTGTAGGTTATATATTTTCACGCTATTACACTTAGGGAGTGAGTAAATTGAAAAAAAATCGTTATGTAAGAAAAGGACAAAAAATTGCAAGCCAATAGCATCAAACATGGTTGCCATGGTAACATGGCGAATGCCTCGTCTTACAGTGACAGTTAATTCTATATATATATATAAGTTGGAATCCACACCACAGCTACTATTAAAATCAACGCCAAAATGGCGTAAAACAAATAGGCACAAAATACTACATATTATAGCCAGTCCATTTATTAAGGATTGGTGAAAACACTTACTAGATCCACCAAACAATGGTTTGTTCTCAGTCGGCTGCTGGAAGCTGGAGAACATACCAGCTGACGCACCCTTACGACCCGCAGTATAGTCCTCCAGACGCAACTCTTCCAAAGATTTACCTTCATATTCCTAAAAAAAAAAACAAAAAAAAAGTATCCTATAACATGCCCGCATACAACAGCTACCTTCCAGTCAAAGTCCCGCCAAAATCTATCCACACGTTCCCGAGATTACATGGAACATAAACAAACTTACATCATCATCAGCTCACTATACGTCCCCACTGAGGGAGGACATAATTTGTACCAAATATAATATTTCTCGTCGATGGCTCAGGGGTTAAGCACCTGACTTGCAATCTGCAGGTTCGAATCCCACCATGTACCAATGTGTTTTTCCATTTCCTATTTACATATGTACATTTATCTTATGTTACGGTGATGGAAAACATCGTGATGGTGCACACATCTGAGAAATTCAAAGATATGTGTGAAGTCAACCCGCACTTGGCCAGCGTGGTTGACTATGACCTAATCACCCACAACTTAGGCTAGGCTTCGATCCCCCTCAGTGGGGACATATAGTGAGCTGATGATGATAATATTTCTTAATTACAGACAGAAACCCCAATTTTATTAAAAAAATTGCAAATAACATATATTGCATTTAAAAAAACACAAAAAATTTGCAAGTTTGCTTGCTAAAACTCTAAAATTAATGTAATATAGTTGAACCTGGATCAGCAAGAAATCTCTATAAGTCAGTCATTGTCCGGTCTAGACCTTCATAAGCAAGAAACTCTATACACGAGAATCGCGGTCCCTACTAACATATACCTATCTCTTTCTCTCTCTTTTCTCCCTCTCTATATCCCTCTCTCTTTTATCTTATTACATACCTTCATACAAGTAATGCAATGATGTTTGATATTAACATTCTGGGATGTACCCGACTTGACCACCATATCAGTGCCAACAACAGGATTGTACTTCACATGACCAGTTCCAGTCGGAGCTTGCTGTTGTCCAAATGCACCTGGAAAGTAAAGTAACAAGTGAAATACCAAAACTTACTATGACACTCAGGGGAAGAATATGACTGAGGGAACAGAGGGGTTTAGTGATACCCACTAAACTCCAACCAACTCCCATTCGGGTGAGAATCCTACATAACTACCGTGCCTTCCCCAAGGCACGGAGTATGCCTATAGCATTGCCATCAGACAAAAAAAAATGGGGAAGAATAATAATGAAATGACACCTCAATCGTTCAAATCGGTTAATTTGTTTACACTATAAGGTCTGAATGGACTTTATATAACTTACTAACATTATAAATGCGAATGTTTAGATGGATGGATGTTTCTTTGAAGGTATATCCAGAACGGCTGAACAGATGTTAATGAAATTTGGCACATATATACATAGTCTGGAAGAACACATAAGCTACTTATTTTGTTTTTAATTCCACGCCGACAGAGTCGCGTGAGACAGCTAGTCTTATAAATATGAATGTTTAGATGTATGTTCGTTAGAAGATATCTCCAGATCAACTGCATGGATCTCGATGAAATTTGGCATAGATGTAGAACATAGTAAGACATAATAAAATTTATTTAGTTAGGTTACTTACTCGCAGTATTATTGAATAGTCCACCACCACCTAAAGTGGTATTCTGTTGACCAAACAATCCAGTACTTGTTGACGGAGTGGAACCAAATAATCCAGTACCTGTTGTACCCGTTGCCGATGTATTACCAAAACCAAAACCTTAAAAAAAAATTATTAATTCTAACAGTTTTAACAGTGGTAGAGGCCAGCAATGTGGTGCAGTGTGTGACTCAAATTCAACACACACACAGCATACGGCTCAAGTCACATCTCATTACAACTACACTCTGATAAGTGTGTGTTGGAGGATTCAAATTACTCCATTCCCTTCCTACAAATTTCTTATATTGAATGGTATCTATACATCCCCACCGACTGAGTGTCTCGGAGTCTACCCTAAATGAGACTGTGATAGTGAATGCTGGTTCAGTGCAAGACTTCACACATTTGACTTTCTCAGATATTTGCAGCATCACTACGTTTTCCTTCACAGTAACAACATACGATAAATGTACATATGTAAAAACACATTGGTACATGATGGGATTCAAACCCAGGACCTGCAGATTACAAGTCAAGTGCTTTAACTCTCTTTTTTTTCATATATTCTTTTAACTATAAAATGAACATATTTTTGTCATAATAAAATTAGTCACAAACCTGCTGGCTTTGCCCCAAAAGCGGAATTATTCTGAGTATTGCCGAACAGACCGGTGGACTGGTTGTTACTGAAGAGACCTCCCGTAGATGTATTTGCTCCAAATCCAAAAGCACTTGATGTTGCACCGAAAGCTGGGGTCGAAGTTGATGCTGGGGAACTACCAAATAGGCCACCAGTGGTGTTGGTGGAGCCGAATAGACCTGAAAAGAAATTAACCTTAGTAGTCTATGTGTTCTTCCAGACTATGTTCTACACCTATGACATCTTTCAGCAAGATCCATGCTGCCATTCTGGATATTCTAACATTCTTTCTAACAAACATCCATCCATACATTTATATTTATAATATTAGTAAGATAACTTACCCCCACCAGTGGCGGGTTGCGGCGTGGCCGTTGCTCCAAATGCCGGAGGTGCACCGAACGCATTAGTTCCAGTTGTCGGCTTGAAACTACCGAACGATGGTGTTGTTGATGTACCTGTAGTAAAAAGTTTAAGAGGGTTACATGGGGAAGGGGGCGTTCTTACAGTGAAGGAAAACATCATGATGCTGCACATATCTGTGTAATTCAAAGATATGTGTGGAGTCAACCCGCACTAGGTCAGCATTCACTATGATCTAGTCACTCACTTAGGGTAGCCTCCGAACCCCTCATTGGGGACGTATAGTGACCCTCTATACGTGCCATAATGATGATAATATGTTTTTACACTTAAAGTCTCATCCATACTATTTTTCAATTCATAAATTTTTCCGAATAACTACAAGTATTATATTACCAAAAGCAGAAGTGCTTGCACCGAATGTCTGTTTCTGAAACATCCTGGTATCTTCTTATTGCTGTTAACAGAACTTATCCCTGGTCTTCCAGAAGCCAAATAACACTGCCTGTCAGGCACCCAACATCTTACATCTGAAAAGGTAGAGACTAAGTTAAAGTTACTTTAACAGTGGTAGAGCCCGCTTTAACATCTTCCCCCAAATTGTCTTAACCAGTACTATACTACAACCACACAGTAGGTATGCGTCAAGTGGAAGCAATTCTGCGAACAGTTAGATGAGTGTGCTTCCCGGAGGCTTAATTTAGTCCTCTTTTTCTTCCCACCCTTTTTCTTATAACAAAAGGATGGGAAATGGAAGTGGACTTTCCGGATGAGAGATACATAGAAAAGGAAAATATTTTCTTTCTGTGCATCCTTTCTTCAGTCGATTAAAGGTAGGCAATGCTTGTGCATTTGCATATATCTATGGGCAACGGTTACTTCGCTATTACAGTGATTTCAGGCGGTTGCTCGCTCATTTGCCACCTTAAGATATAAAAGAAATTAAATCATCAGAGTTCACAATTCCAACTACAGTATGATGAGTGTGGTACCGCATGCCAAATTCAGATAGAAACCATTATAAGCTAGAAAAATATTGGTTGGACCTCCTCATTTATCCAAGTTAGATTGTTTTAATTCTAATGACATTTTAATAACATTGTTTTTGATTTTACACACAAGTAATCCTCACCGGATTTCGGGTTAATATATATTTTGTAATATTTTCCTCAAGCATATGCAAAACTTTCTTACGGTATGAATATCTCATATATTTATAAATCAAGGTCAAAGTATGACATCATCGAAATTATTCAACTTTCTATCATTGCACAATATTTACAAATGTTATGTTTGTAAACAAAAGAAAATCACAACATAATAATTAATATCTTATACATAGGTCTACCATCCCTTGGACCTGTGATCAGTTCTAAGCCCACGTAATCAAAAGATACATGTATTTGTGCAGCTAATTTCTGCAAACTTTCAACACTTGCAAGGAAATCAAAACCCACAAAGTACTTCCCTTAAAGCTTAAAATTGGGTATAAAGTAATGTCTTATAGCACAGATAAAGGAAAAATTGTGAAAACCATAAGTTTTAACCTGTAGGCATACCAAGTTTTGTATCAAATACTTGGTGCACTTGTCTGACTCGTACTTGGCCTTTTCAGGTTGCAAATGAGCAATGGCCACCTGAATACACTGTTATAGCAAAGTGACCATTGCTTATAGACATCTACAATTGCAGAGCCGTGGTTAATCTATGGAGGAGGAGACACACAGAAAGAGGATATTACCCCTTTCCTATATGTCCCCGCCATCTCCAAATCCATTCCCTTTCTTCATAAATAAATAGTCGAAAGAGAATGCGGATTGCAATAAGTTGTATGGACACACTCATCAGACAAAATGCAAAATTGCTTCCCGTTCTCACCTGTGATATGTATAGTTCTGTAATGCTTAAAATCTACAAAAAAGAGACACATAGAAATACATCCATTGCCTACAAAGGTAGAGGAGTGAATACAGATGATGGCTGATGGAGATGTATGAAGAAGTAAATACTGTGCCAACACTATATAAGGAAAATATCAGACTGATGGTGATTCATTGCTAAATTAGGCTTTGCTTTGTAAAAAGCAACAGAAGCAATAAAAGGTGCATTTTACATAGCAATTCAGTGAAATTTTACCCATATTTATAAACTTTACACAAAAAACGACTTGAGGTGATTCGTAATTTTAAAATACCTACATTAAATTGTAAAAATCTCTACGTGTCGAAAAACATAACAAAATGTTTTATTGCGTCGTTACAGATAATACAATGACGACGTTTTTGGCAACCAAAAAATTAAAATATATAACACCTTCATTTCATTAGGTACAACAATTTATACCAACGGAGTTTTGACGTTTAGTACTAAACTCACGAGGTAAGCACAGAATTTGGTTTACACATTGAAAGCCTTTTATTAGAAGCGAAATAAATAAGCATTTTAAGTAAATAGTAAAAATATATCAAATATTTTTAATAACGGTCAAATTAAAAAACAAAAATTGAAATTGAACCAATAACTGAGTTGCATCTTCCGTATGTAAATAACCGTATTATTTTATGAACTTACCACTTTAATACACAAAAAAGTACACCAAACTATTATAGACTGACAATTCACTTTAAATTTGAAATGAAAAGGAATTTTTTTGGTTATTTCACTATACACTTGGATGAAAGCAAAACGGTTTCAATTTTACAGTGCATCCAAATCGGCTTTCCATTGAAACTTTAGGAACAGATTATCAACATCGGCTTTATATCGTATTGCCAGACACAATTTGTTAAAACATGTTGAAAGTTTCTTAATGTTGCCATATCTACGACTCAAAAACTACTAAGTTACAACTACAAGTCGTTTCGTCTTTGATTTTGGGTCCTTTACACTTTCCTGTTATTTCTATTTTTCTCTTATTTATTTTCCAACCATAATTTATAGATTTTCTTGACATTTTAAAATACAAAGCAGAGTTTTCTCTAGTATTTTCTGCTATATAATTTATTTGTAAGCAACGATTGCGTCACTTATTACTAAAATTATGAAATTAAATACTACGACTACTTAAAGCAAAGAAAGGAAATTGGAAAATAATTGAGGTTTTTCGGCGACATCTATTACTTTAAAATGATATGCCGTAGCCCATGAGACGAAGCAAAAAATCCAACGTTATGTGTTATTAAACAACATTATGCAATCTTGAAAAATATCTTAGAAATGATCTTTGTCATCGTTATATAGATTTTTCCTCAAAACCCTTACCAAGTATATTGACCAATACTTAAATCTTAACCGATTTTACCAGACTGACAAGAGATTTACGTTTGCGCGTGAATTTAATTTTGTTATTATGTATTAGGGTTCATATGTGTCATTCGATTCATCGAATCACAGTCAAAGGATAGAAAATTGTTCAGTATCCAGTTGGGCGAAAAACCATTTAATAAATTAATACAGTTCATAAGTCGGAGAGGCAAAGTACTCTGGTACGTTTATTTATTTAGCTATATTATTTATATGAATTTAACAACAACTGTAACTATAGTGAAATCCTCTACAATCTGAAAACTAAAATAGGTAACGTGTCCAATGTTTCGAAATAAAAATAAAAGTTTTTATTTCTTTGTAATAAACATTTTACAACTAATATAAAATGTTTCTCATTCACTTGATGCTGATATTTTGTAAGTACCACATACGTAGTATTAACATCTTTTCAAATAGAAAAAAAATAATTTTACTAGAAACTACGATTGCCTTCGAAAATTCTCATAAACTTGCCTCCGTCCTTAAGTATCCCTTAAGAAGACTCCGTAAGTTGATATATAATACAGTGTTCGCGTAATTGTGAATTTATTGGGTAGAAGTTATTCCATTGCCTAAATATTGCACATTTTAACGCATATTTTTAAAAGATAAAACATTTTTTATTCAGATTGCCTAACAAAAAGCCATGCTGTCGTGTTACATTTAGATGGCTTGCTCGATGTAGGCAAGAAGTGGAACTATGAATTACAGCTCACGCAAGTAACTGATGGAAAATTCAAATTTGCCTTAGAAAGAAACTTGTCCCCTCAACCACTAACTACGAAAAGTGACATACAATATATCATACCAAACTTATTTAAAATCGGTAATATAAGGAATGGTATTGAGACCAACGACTTTGTTTCAAACAATGAAGAAGGGGCTAAAATAAACATATCACTTATTTTCGAAAATGGGGAAAAAGGTCCAGTGAAGAAGAAAAAAAATAGCAAAGCATCGTCCCATTTAAGACAGCGAGCAGAAATTATTAGTCCACGTAAAATTAAAGACGATGAATCAATTCAACGGTATATTCTTCATTTGTACAACCAAGCACTAATAGTTCTAGAAAATATTCAGGTAAGATTTGAGAACAAAATAAATAAACACAAGTTTCATAGAATAAAACAACTTTACAAAGAAAAACTCGAAGAACATGTCAATAAATTAGGTAACCAAACGCTTAGAACTAAATTAGGAACTCAAAAAGCGATTTTAAATACATTGAGCGTGTCAAATAGAATTATTACAAAAATATTTGACCATATGAACATGTTTTTAAAAGGTTCACTAAGAAATTCAAACTCAACTATCGATTCAATGCAAAAATTTCTAGATAAGGAACTTAATACGGAATTCATTCATCTTTGTAAACAATATAAAATATGTAGATCTCGCAGAACTTTTAGCGATTTATTAACACAAATGTTGACAATGATTTTAAAAACGGACAATCGGAAAATAAAACAGGCTTCCGATGCTTTGACCGAAGTACTGAAAGATGCGGTTTTTGTGAAAATAATGGATTGGGAATCACATAAACAATTTAAAGCTCTTATACGCAACTTGGAATATAAAAACGAAGAAGAGACGAAAATTGTTTTTTTAATCCTAAAAAATGTAATAGCAAATAGAAATCAGCCAATAAAAATTTATGGTGCTGAAAATATGAAATTAGTCAATAAAACGGTTGTGCTTCAGGCTATTTTAAATGAATTCGATAAAGTGATTTTTGGCGACCGTAATAATACTAAACAGTGGGATAATTTGTTACAAAAGCTGGAAGAATGGACAAATGCAAGTGAATACAGAAATATTATAACGCAAATTTGGACTGAATTAATTAGAATTATGGAAATTGGTGCAGAGAAAATGACAGAAGAGGTTGCACGTACAGTAAGGGAGAATATACGATTTGTTTTAGATTGAATGTAAAACAAATAAAATCATCCTTAATCACAACTTTTAAATTGTATAAGAACAAGTTTTTTTAAAATTCTTATTCAACTCTTTCCTGCCCTCATCCTCTGTTAATTTTTTTAACCTATTGCATCTATTTCACGAATTTATGTGATTTATTTTACTTAACTCTGTAGTTGTAGATGTTGCCCCCACACTGTAGATGTTGAATCTTACAATATTAAAGGAGATGGTGACGCCTTCAAGACTCTCATGACAGGAATGCTGTATTTTTGGTCAGTCTTTACATTAGTTGATATATATCTATGAAAATATATTAAATACAATAATCAATTTGTTGTTGTAAAGTTAGGTTTGATGTCTTTAATCTCTGTTACACTTTACAATTTTTTTTAATTTCCGCTAAACTTAAAATTACCAAATACTACCAATTTGTTACCCACTCGAAAAAACAACTATTTAATCTGTACCAATTGTTTTAGACTGCCCTTTTCTATTGCTCTTTGATAAGTGACAACACCAATCACAAAACGTTTTTTGCTTTTGATAATGGCGGAAAAGCGGCTACATTGTTTAGTGCATATGCGTTTTTAACACTATTTACGAAATTATAATTAAAAATGAGTCGGTTTAGGATTTCTAAAATCGAAGAGAAGATAGCTTACGAGATTTTTCGATCATGTCGTCTCTGTGGGGCTGGTGCTGGCTACAAAATGCCGATAGTTCAGAATGTCGACTTAGATGGAGATGTACCACTTACCCAAAAAATACGGGAATGTGTACAAATAGAGGTGAAGTGTTCTAATATGAAACTACTCTACCTTCTACTGTTTTCAGTATTTTTATTTATACCAAAGTCCAAACACAAATTAATGATTGTTTCTATATTGTAACATTTATTCCCATATCGTCATATTTTCTTTATATGTAATTCTCAAATTGATAATATAAACATTATTCATAGTTTTTTATTACACCAATATGTTTTGAATTAGATTTAGTTTAGTTTATCAAATAGGTTAACTAGTTTCCCTCCATTTTAGTACTCTTAATACTGAGGTCGAATTGTTTACAGGTACACCAAGAAGATAAAATGCCACCTTTAATTTGTGAGTTGTGCGTCGACAAAGTGAATGATTTTTATGAGTTCTCTGAGATGTGTAAACAAACAAATATGAAGACTAGATTACGGCTCGGTTTACCTCCACAGACCATGCCTAGAGGAGCGGTAAGTAAACAAATGTCGATATATTCAACTTTGTCACTAAACGTGATTAAATCAGTATTGAATCGGTTCAAAAGCTGCAAAATGCGTGGAAACGGAAAATATTTTCTTCCTATGCATCCTATTTTCCAGAAAGTCCACTTCCACTTCCTATTCTTTCCTTATAAGAAAAAAGGTGGGAAGGGAAAGAGGACTAAATTAGGCCTCTGGGACACACACTCATAAAAGGGAAAATATTTTCTTCCTGTGCATCCTCTCTTCCGTCGATTAAAGGTAGACAACGCATATGCAATTGCGTATATCTATGGGCAACAGTCACTTTGCTATTTCAGCGATTTCAGGTGGCCACTCGCTCGTTTGCCACCTTATTACATATAAAAAAAAACATGTCTAAATATGTTAATTAATACTTTATATGTATGTAATTTCAGCCAAATGCCGATGACTGCATCTTAGGCGTTACGGAAACTATATTTTCTACTGAGGATTCAAATGAGTCTATCGTAAAGCATAAACAAGTAAAACTGAGTAAATCAAAGAAAGAAACATCTGATAAAGTTAAGGTAAGGAATTTTCACGAAATTGAAATAATAATAGCTCAATAAGTTAATGTACAGGCAACCAATACTGATCATGGGTTTGAATCTCGCTTTTCGCTTATTGTGAAGTACATTGTAACACAGCTTTCCTAGAATTAATACAAGAAGTAATTATTATCTTATTTATTTATTCCTGACTTTTCCTGATATTTATCTTATATATAAAATTCTCGTGTCACAATTTTCGTTCCCATACTCCTCGTAAACGGCTTGACCGATTCTCATGAAATTTTGTGAGCATATTGAGTAGCTCTGAGAATCGGACAACATCTATTTTCCATCCCGCGCGGACGGAATCGTAGGCGACAGCTAGTATGTTATATAACCCTCTATCTATTATATGTTATTCTCTCCTGTCCCGCTGAGTTGCCTGGAAGAGATCGCTTGCAGTGATAAGGCCACCCTTGCTTTGTAAATTATTTGTCTTGATTTTTTTATCTATTATAATAGCATTAAGAGTTAATAAATAAATAAGAAATATTAAAAATGTACTAATATTAAACATAATTTCCCTCGTTATTTCTATTTCCCCGATACTGTCCGTACATTAAAAAAAATGAGTAGCCCATGTGTTCTTCCAGACTATTTTCTACATCTATGCCAAATTACAGCAAGATCTGTTGAGCCGTTATGGAGATACTTTCTAATAAACATCCATCCAAACATTCAAAGTTACAATAGCTATCGCACGCAGCTCCGTCTGCGCAGAATTAAAAACTAAATGAGTAGTCTATGTGTTCTTCCAGACTATGTTCTACATGTATGACAAATTTAAGCAAGATTCGTTAAGCTGTTGCGGAGATACCTTCAAATAAACATCCATCCATCCAAACATTCGCATTTATAATATCAATAAGATACTAGCTTTAGCACGCGGTGTCGTCCGCTCGGAATTTAAAAAAAGAAAGTAACCTATATGTTCTTCTAGCATTTATAATATTAGTAAAATATCACTGTTTGTTTTCAGATGAAATCATCAGAGAATAACCGTAATTCTCGATCTATAAAATTAAGTCCGGAAGACAGTAGACGTGCAACACGTGGATCTACCAGCAGTCCTACAAACATCCTGACTTTGAGGAACAGGAATTCCAAGGATCAGAAGAATGTAGACCAGGTAAGACAACAAGATTTTCAATCTTGGTTTATTTACAAACAGTGGTAGAGCCCGCTTTAACATCTTCGCACGAATTGTCCCGGCTCGCTCAATGATATACCACGACCAAACAGAAGACAGGCTTCAAGTGGAAGCAATTCCAACTACAGTCTGATGAGTGTGCGTCCCGGAGGCCTAATTTAGTCCTCTTTCCCTTCCCATCCTTTTCTTTATAAGGAAAGAAGTGGAGTGGACTTTCCAGATGAGAGGATGCATGGGAAGGGAAAATATTTTCTTTCTGTGCATCCTCTCCTCCTTCAATTAAAGGTAGGCAACGCATATGCAATTGCGTATGTCTATGGGCAACGGTCACTTCGCTATTTCAGCGATTTTAGGTAACCGCTCGCTCGTTTACCACCTTATACATAAACAATATAGTAGCGTGATTTGTGAACACTAGCATGCAGCAAATCCTAACAGTAGCCACCCTCGACTCCGTCTGTGCGGAATAAAAAAACTTTGTAGTCTATGTGTTCTTCCAGACTATGTTCTACATCTATGATTAATTTCAGCTAATTCCATGCAGTAGTTCTGGAGATATCTTCTAACAAACATCTAAACATTCATATTTATAATATTAGTAAGATTAGATACTTTTTTCAAATTATATGGTTTTTTCCACAGAACAAGAAAAAATCCTCGGAACCTTTGAAATCGATTTTAAAGAAGGAGAAAATTAAAGTAAGTAATAAATTTGATAAAATAAATTAACTAGCTGTCGCACGCGATTCGGTCTGTGTGGAATGGAAACTTAATTAGTGCCCGACAATTATTAGAATTTTTCTCACCTTTGAAACCTTCTTTAAAGCTCCAGGAATATTTCAAGACCAAGATAGGATAAATCTGTTTAGCCGTTCTCTAGTTTTAGCGAGACTAACGAACAGTAATTGATTTTTATATATATATATATACACATATAGATAGATAATAAATTTTTTCTTATGAAAACTTTGTTAACAAGACATAAGGCAGGAAAATTTACTATGAACGATTAAAAAAAAAGATGTTTTAGATATGTTCATCCCACGCGGACGGAGTCGCGGGCGATAGCTAGTCTTATATATTAGTCTGCAGTCATGAAAAAATTAAATTTTCCAGGAAGAAGATATTTTAGTGACACCAAAATCTAAAAGGGGAAGAGAAAGAGAATTAAGAAATGACCTACCAGTGAAAAGAGTCAAGTAAGTGTATAGTACACTAGCTTATAGAATTAAAAAAAATCTTACTAATAATACAAATGCGAGTGTTTAGATGTATGTTTATTAGAAGTTATCTCCAGAACAGCTGCACGGATCTGGCTGAAATTTGTAATACATATAGAACATAGTCTGAAAGAACACATAGGCTACTTATTAAGTTTTTTTATAATCCCATGTGGACGGAGTCACGGGCGATAGCTAGTCTAGTAATAAATACAGTCTACGTCATTTGGAGTTAGTGTAGCTGTATTTTGAAGTTTCAAAGAATATTCAATGCAAACAATCATATCTTTGTTATTTATTCATGAGTAATTCCCTTTTAATAGAAATAAAACCGGTAGCATTGTATGGCAATGATGTTTCTCCATTTATTTGAATCTATCTCTAGCCCGCGTCTCCGTCTGCGTGGATTTAAAAAAAAACTTAATGAAGTAGCCTATGTGTTCTTCCGGACTATGTTCTATATTTATGACAAATTTCAACAAGATCTATACAGCCGTTCTGAAGATATTTCTGAACAAACATTCATCTGTATATTCAAATTTATAATATTAGTAATTAAATTTACATTTATGTTTTTTTTTTCACAGGATAGAAGTCTCACCGAGTACATCCAGGTCAACTAGAACATCCAAATCTCCTACCAGGTCTAGGACCAGGTCTCCTCCCAAAACAAGTACCAGGTCTCCGGATACAGATGACCTGGTGTGCAAAGTGTGTAAACGAACGTTCCTTGCTAAGTGTGCCTTTGTTAATCATATGAAAGTACATCAAAATGATATTAAGTAAGTATTTATCTGTAGTTTTTTTTTCATTATTAGAAGTTTTTTTTGTTAATTTAGTAATAATTCTTGTCTATAAAGCTCTAGGCTTTTAGTCTAATTCATCACCATCAGCTCTAAGTCCCCACTGAGGGTAGAGTGTACCCTAAGTGAGAGTATGTGATAGTGAATGCTGGTCCAGTGCAAGACTTCACACATTTGACTTTATCAGATATGTGCAGCATCACGATGTTTTCCTTCACCGTAACATAAGATAAATGTACATATGTAATAACATATTGGTACATGACGGGATTCAAACTCAGGACCTGCAGACAAGTCTTGTGTTTAAACCCCTGAGCCACCGACACTCTAATAAGTATACGAATGACGGGATTCGAACTCTCGATTACGTGATGGGAAATCCGTACCCTTAACCATTAGGCTATTGGTGCTTTCAATTTAATTCAAAAGGTGTTTAAGCTTGTTTAAGTCTTGGTTAGTTCGCCTTTTTTTATTTTAGTTAGCTCTTTTAATTAACAAAAATATACTAAAAGCTTATTTTTTAAGTTTGTATCAAATAAAAAAAAGAAATGTTTTTTTTTTTATTTCAAGTTTATCTGATGTATTGACTCATACAAAAATTTCTATTATCAAAATATTTTTTTTTTTACATTTGTTTCGTTTTTTCTACAAAATGGATACTTATTTCTTATAATAAAATTATTTAAAATCATGATTTTTCAGGAATTCAAGAAATAAAAGGTCTCCGCCAGTTCCAGAAACTAAATCCAAAGATAGAAGAGAAAAAGTACATGCTAGAGGTAAATAGTAAATTGTATAAGTATTACTAGTTTTTACCCGCGACTCTGTCCGTGCGGAATAACAAAAAACTTAATAAGTAGTCTATGTGTTTCAGACTATGTTCTATATGTATGACAAATTTCATCAAGATTTATGTAGGCGTTCTGGAGATATCTTTTAACATTCATCCATATTATATCTTATATCTTTAAAAGAGCAATTCTTGTATATATATATATAGGAATCTCGGCTCCAACGATTTTCATAAAATTTAGTATATAGGTGGTTTCGGGGGCGATAAATCGATCTAGTTTGGAATCATTTTTAGATAATGTCATTTTATTCGTGTTTTATCGATAATCAACTTAAACATAAACTTTACTTTTTCTATCGATAAGATCAAAAAATATTATTCATATTTCATCATTTTATTAGTAATTCCTACTTAAATATAATTTCCATAAAACACAATTTAAAAAAAAAATACCGGTCATCCAGATTTTCTTTCTATATGATTTGATTTCTGTATTTGATGTATGGATGCTTCTTAGAAGATATCTTCAGCTGCATGGATCTTAATGAAATTTGACACAGATGTAGAACATAGTATGGAAGAACACATAGGATACTAAGTTTTATTTAAATTCCGTACAGAGTCACGTGCGACAGCTAGTAATAACGCCATCTATCTTTTAATAAAATTCAAAAATATTGCATAGCGCCATCTATAACTGTATATAAACATTTTTCAGGTAAAAACGATACTAAACATAAAGAAACACACAATTGTCCTTGCGGCAGAGAGTACTTGGCAATGAAGAACCTTCGCAGACATCAGATGACGTGCAAGGGAAAGAAACAGGGTAAAGATAAATACTTTGAAATCCGACACAGTGCCGGTGTACTGGCGCAGTAGCCTAACTAAAATATCAACGTTTATGTCCCCTCACTACATCTGGCACTTGACTTTGTAACGAAAGCGCGATATTCGCGCCAAAAGATTCTAACTAATAATGTCTAAAAGTAGTCAAAAAAAAAGACTGACTTAGGTTTTCAGTCTTTTTTTCCTTCACACTCTTTACTTATAAGGAAAGTATGGAAAAGGGAGTGGATTTGTTGATTGGGATACACAGAAAGAGGATATTTCCTCTTCCTATGCGTCCCCTCCCCTGTCGATTAAAGGTATGCAACTCATCTGCAATATGTCTGTCTGTGTGTGTGTGTGACATATTTTTGAACTATTCCCTCTTATATTATTATTTTTAATAATAAAATAATGTCATATTCAAATTGAAAATAAATATTTTCTTTCAGATTTATCAATAGATCCACTATTAATGTCAAAAATACGACCATTACAAATAAGAGTAGCGAGATGTGATCCAATATTGAACAAGAAATATTCTATATCTGAAGTACCACAGGTAAATAACTTTATATAATATATTAACTGTAGCCCGCGATTCTGTTCGCGTGATATTAAAAAAAACATAATTAGTAGTCTATGTGTTCTTCCAGACTATGTTCTATATAGGATGTCCCAAAATGTTACGTACATAGGAAGGGGGATGATAGGGGTGGTCACAAGGGTCACCAGAAAAATTAAATAAAAATAAAAGTTGTATTGTTTTTTTTATTTCATATTGATAAAGGGTTATTGACGATAACATAATAGCTTTTTTTTTAAATATAGCAATATTTGTAGGTCATCGGTTACAAAATTGACCCAGAAGGTGTAAAATTTTTAAGTTTTTAAAAAATGCCATTTTTTTTTAATACCCAGAGGGGAATTTTTATTGTATTTTTCTGGTGACCCTTGTGACCACACCTATCATCCCCCTTACTATGTACGTAACCTTTTGGGACACTTGTATGTATGACAAATTTCATCGAGATCCGTTCAGTCGTTCTGGAGATACCATACATCTAAATATTTTCATTTATAATATTAGTAGAATTACCTGCACTTTGGAGTTGTTATGATGAGGCTGAAAACCAGAACGGTCTTTACAGATAATTTGGAATAATCAGCTGAATTTCCCATTTGCCAAGAATTTTTTCTTCTCTTGTAAATGCAATTAATTTTGTATTTTTTTTGTTAATTTATATAATATGATTGTTTACAGGTATTTGGTTTAGATAAAAACTGCACATATCCATATTTAAGAATAAAAACTGAACCGAACACAGGTCGGGATGCCATGGTACGTATTGAAGATGAAATTAAAGACGTACTTTACGAAGCGGATTATATACATTGGGATTCGGATACTAGTACCGATGAAGAAAATGAAACATTTATAAAGAAAAGGAAAGTTTCAAGCCTTTCAACGCTCTGTTTAAAGACTATATTCTCACCTAGATACTTAGGCAGAGTCCGAAGGAAGAGAAGAAAGGTTAAAACTGAAATAATGACGGAAAATCTAGACCAAAATCAAGATATTTTTGATGATGTTGATAGTTTTGATGATGTACATGATTTGGAAAGGATAAATGATTCTAGTTTCGATCAACTTTTTGGTAATGATTTTAAGAAAATAGCCTCCGATGTAGAAGATAACGATAAAGAAGATATTGTAAATAAAGAAGGAAACAGTAGTAAAGAAGATAATAATCTAAAAGAAAATGTAAATAGTGATAAAGATGTTATTAAAGAAAACAATGACAACGAAATTAGTAAGGAAGAAAATTGTGACAAGGAAATTAGTAAAGAAAATAGTGACATGGAAATTTGCAAAGATAACAGTGACAAGGATATTTGTAATGAAAACAGTGACAAGGAAATTAGTGGAGAAAACAGTAACAAGGAAATTAGTGGAGAAAACAGTGACAAGGAAATTAGTGGAAAAAACAGTGACAAAGAAATTAGTGGAGAAAACAGTGACAAGGAAATTAGTGGAAAAAACAGTGACAAAGAAATTAGTGGAGAAAACAGTGACAAGGAAATTAGTAAGGAAAACAGTGACAATGAAATTAGTAAAGAAGAAAACAGTGATAAAGAAGTAAGTCTAAAGAAAGAAGAAAATGAAAAGCATAAAGAAAAAAATCAAGATGATAATATAAATAAAGAAGAAAAGAGAAATAATACAAAAGAAAATAGCAGCAACAAAGATGGTATAAATTTAAAAGATAAAGATGAAAGGGAACTAACGGAAAGATTAATTGAAAGTAATACAAGGAAAGATATTATAAGTGATATATTGAATATTCCAGATTTAACATTAAATGTGAATTCTAATGAAGATAAAATAGATTTATCCGAAGTTATTCATAAAACAGATTCAAATAAAATAAATCAAATGGAAGTGAAAAATGCGACAATTAAACATGCAAATATTAATTTAATTCTACAAGATATGGAAGAATCGAAATGTCTAGAATTAAATAAAGATTCAATTGATTCAGATATACCAGTAGATATAAAAGAAGATGAATTAATAGATTTGCTACCAAATAAAGAGGAATTGATCACTGAAAACGATCTGTTAGGTGAAAGAAATCTAGATAATGAAAGTATAGATAATATATTTGAAGTAAAAGATTTGAATACAGATAAAAAAGATTTAAAAAATAATAAAACAGAAAATATCGCTGATAATATTATGAAGGATATTATTAATAAAGTTAATAATGATATAAATAGCGGAGATTATTTAGTTAATGGTAGGAAGAACTATGAAGAAAATGTATTGGACGATCAAAGATTGATGGATGAGCTGGATGCACAGATCGGTGAAGATATAATGGAGAAGCATTTAAGTTTAGATGATTTTAGTGAAGTTGAAGAATTTTGATTCATGCAACACTAACCGTGGGATTCTGAGAGCTAAATACCCATATACATCATCAGTTCACTATAAATCCCCAATGAGTGTCTTGTACCTTAAGTGAGAGTATGTGATAGTGAATGCAGGTCCAGTGCAAGACTTCACACATTTGACTTTCTCAGATATGTCCAGCATCGCGATGTTTTCCTTCATCGTAACGTAAGATAAATGTACATATGTAAAAACACATTGATATGTCGGGATTCGAACCTAAGAACTGCAGATTGCAAGTCAAGTGCTTGACTCCTTAGCTACCGACGCTCATACCCATATTACTTTTTACTAATATAAATGCGAGTGTTAAGATGTTTGTTAGAAGATATCTCCGGAATACTTCAACGGATCTTGATGAAATTTAGCATAAATATAGAACATAGTCTGAAGGTATTATCTTCTTCCAGACTATGTTCTACATCTATGACAAATTTCAGCTAAATCCGTTCAGCCATTCTGGAAATATTTGATAACAAACATCCATACATCTAAACATTCGCATTTATAATATTAGTAAGATAAGTAAACTAAAATATTGGTCTTATAAACCAATGGTGGAAATATGACAACTAGAGTTGTTTAAATCAACTCTTAATCTTCAACAAACATAAAGTCACAGACTTAAACCATTGAGTTATGACTCAATAAGAAAATTTACAATCCAAAGCTCATACTGTACCATAACTATGTGACTAGCAACTCACAGTTCACAAGTCGTAAGTTCACAACTATGTACAAATTGACTTGAAGAATTGAGTCGTGATTTGCAAGTCAGTTGAGTCATAACTTTTCACAAATAAAGTGGCAGTACTCTCCGGAGTGTCATTTTTTGGTCTTTACAATGACATCTTTATAATTATATATATATAGCTTAAACTCACAATAGCTTCTTAATATTTTCTTTTTTCTTGTGCACTATCACAAGATTATTGTAAAGTTGCCTTGTCGGTGAATCTTTGACATTCTATGTCACTAGTCCGACATAATTTCTATTAGAAATATCTGAAATTAGTGTCTGACTAAGCCAAATTTGTTGTACCATATTAAGTTGTACATAATAAGGTTTTTTATAGTATGTATATTTTTTATACTCTTTTAATTAGCTAAAGAGATTTGATTTCTCGAGATTTTTTATATTCAGTTAATATATTTTTAAGTTAAAAGAAAATTTCAGTTTGAATATAGTTATCATTGGTTTTGTTGATTAAAAATAATATTTTATAAGGAGAGAAAAAAAAATTGTGTTTGATTCGCAACAAATTTTAACACAAAATTACTTAATAAGTTATGTAAACAGCTATTCGGTTATATACTAATCTTTTTTTAGGTATATTTTTATTGTAAATAAATGTATATATTATTTTTTTTTTGTAATTAATCAGAATAACTTCAATCACAAAATCATCAAAAACTTGACGTCATCAACCTGTCATTTCTCGTCACAGCAAAGCCTAATTTACTGCCAAGGTAAGTATTTTCATAATAAAGAAAGTATAGTCGATTCTTTTAATTCCCTTAACAATTACGATCTTACAGCTTTCACCGTATAGTGAATCCACTAGACCAGTCTTTCCCAAAGTGGACGATAACGCCCACTTGTGGGCGCTGCAGGTTTCAAGTTGCGGGTTATAGTAAAAGTTTCCTTTAGAATTCTCCGTTAATATACATATATAGCTCACAATAATTAATTAATATAATTTGAAGTTATAGTGGTTTTTAAACATGGGGGCGTTAAAAATATTTATTCTCAAAGTGTGCAGTAGACAAAATAAGTTTGGGAACCACTGCACTAGAATAATTCGACAGGTATGGGTAGGAAATAAATGTCCCCGACTGTAAATTTTAGTGTAACTAATATTATGTTAATTATGACATGTAATTTTAATCAATAATAATGGATTTAATTTTCAATTAAAGACTTAAAAGGGAGACTAATTAAAAAATATGTCAGTTAAGTTTTGGTTAGCAAGAGAAAAAGGCGCGAATAACGAAACATGAAAATGATTTTACATTTTTTAATAATCGGTAAGGTAATAAAAAATATTTTGCCAGAGAATATTTGATATTCGAATATTTTACCAATTCATTTTTACATCTTCTAAAGTTGGTAAAAATTAAGGTCTACCATAATCTCTATAAATGGATAGGCGATTGCATGGAAATGACAAAATTACTTCGTTCCGATTTAAACGCATCCATTGATGTTTTCGACAGTAAATTATATCTATAACATTAGTTCGAATTTACACCACTGCTACCATCAGCACCAAAATGGCGAATATAAAATTGGCACAAAATATCACGTCTCATAGCCAGTCCATTTGTAAAGAGTTCCATACAAGTTTGACGTCTCCTCGAGACAGATTTATAATGTTTTATCGCAAATGACAAACACTGAGGTAATTAAATTATTTTATATACTCTTTGATTAAACCCAACAAAAAAGGTTTTCGAAGACCTTATTTCTAGCACACTTTTTATTTATATTAAATTATATTTGATAAATTCTAGGTTTATTTCTTAACGCCGCATTGGGGAATTATTACGAAAAGGAAGAACGCTTAAGAAATATTAAAGAAAACTTGCAATTATTTATGCAGCAGACCTATCCAACAGATTATATTAGTTATGAAAACGAAGAAAGCGTATTAAGGAAAACTCAAAACAAAACCAATAAACCAAGCCGTTTTTTTAGTTACTTTTTTGGCACTACCACCACACAGGCACCACCATTAGATCGTAGAATTTTATCATTTTTACATGATTTAAAAACAATTTTACATAGTTTAAGAACCGCTTCGGATACATTACTTTATATAATCGGACATTTTGAGGCGATAAATCGTCATTTTCCATCAAGAAATTTGAAAGAACATGTAAAAAGTCGTGTCAATAGGAAAAATACTGATAAAATAACAGAAAAACAAACAAATGTCACAGATAAAATAAATATACAGCCAAATAATGTGACGAAAATAAATGATCGAAGAATGCATTTCTTAAATTGATTTTAATTAAAGTTGAATTACTTAATCATTTAGAAGAATCATAAATATCATAATAATTTAATAAAATCTTTTAAAAAAAGTTCTTATATTGTAATTTCGTTAGAGAATTTAAAGATTTTTAATCTGTGACCGTTTGAAAAAAATCTCAAAGTGTAATAAAAAATTATTAAATTACATAACGAGTTAATAAAGAAATCCAAATAAAAAGATGGAATTGAATAAACGTTTTCAGTTTAATTTTATTTATTCAGTCTATACAACAATTTTTTATCTATACTTATAATTATTACAATTCACCATAGACTTATATTTACGATTATAGAAAAAATTCTCTTAACCTTTATGTTTTTTAACTTTATAAAAAATACTAGCGGACCCGACAGACGTTGTCCTGTCTACACATCTTTAATTTGAATAAATTAATATGAAGTTAATATTTGATGAAAATTGTGAATCTAAACACAATCTCTAAAATCTAAACCCCTTGAACACACACAAAAAATTTCATCAAAATCGCTCCAGTCGTTTGAGAGAAGTTCCGTGACATACACACTCACAGAAGAATTATATATATTAAGATACGATCACTATGAAATAATTTTTAACTTAGTTTTTTTTTACTTTTCTTCAAAAAATAAATCTTGGCACAATAAGGGTTAATACCAGTTAACACAGCAGTCTCTTGCTAATAAATACGCAATCTTAAACAAAAGTCTATAGTAAAAATACTGTTATAACTAATTCCAAAGATTTTCGTAAACAAAATAAACCAAAAAGGTTTTTCAGATGATAAAATACTTATTGTTACCACTAAAAATATTTTAAATTGAAGAATTAAATTTAAGACTTCATCAAATACTTTTGTACTTTTAAATGTACATTTTTAAATTTTTTTGTATTTCATTTAACTCTACAAATGTAATATGTGTTTGTAAATCTTATTTTTAAACATGACAACACTTATAAAAGTCACTGGTCATAAAGTTGCTATTTAAAAAAATATTCTACAATTTTAGTAGATTTTATTTCAAGGTTTTTTTTGCCAGCATATTTTTAGTTGATTGTACGATTGTGTCCATCACAACAGATGCTGCGTTCACTTTACTACATCTGGAAAATGGGAAATATATTAAAATGTAACATTATTAGAAATAAAATTGCTTAAAGTAAAGACGTTGTGAACTAAATAAAAACGGCTCCACGTACGAATAATTTTGAAGACGTCAGAGTTTCTTTAGGTTGATTGAGATTGGGACTAACTATACGTGCTTACGGTGAAGGAAAACATCGTGATGCTGCACATATCTTAGAAATTCAAAGATATGTGTTTAGTCAACCCGCACTTGGCCAGCGTGGTTGACCTGTCACCCATAACTTAGGGTAGGCTCTGAGCCCCTCGGTAAGGACTTATAGTGAGCTGATGATGAAATGATGATGATGAAATTATCATTTTTAGTGTAATGTTCACTTTATCCATGGTACAAAATACAAAGTTTATGTTTTCTCACCTTGGGAACATATCTTGGCACTTGAGTTCAGTCCATCCTGTCAGAGCTTCGTAAAGCATTGTGTCGAATGCACGATCTGTTGACAGTTCACCTGTCAGCATACGCAGAGCTAAGCTGTTAAGAAAAATATGTTGTATAATGCATTTATCTTTATATATTTGTATGTTAATATTTAAATGTGACTAAATAATTCTTGCTCACACTTTTTTTGTCTTTTATTATCGTGCGATTGATCTGTGTCATCCTGTCTTACTGTATGTTGCCAGGTAGAAATTTTACTGGCAATAATGTATTTGAATTATGAATTCTTCTATCTTAATTTTCTATTATATAACTGTACTTTAATAACATTTCAAGATATTTACTCGTTTTAACGCGAAAAGATTTGCAGTTCATAATTGTATAACTGTATTTGTTGTTTACGATTTTAAATAAAACAAATATATATTTTTCTTCATACTTAGTAAACTCACCCATTAATTCTAGCCATAGTACCATAAGGGGCATTCAGTTTAGCAGTTGCAATCAAATTCCTGCAATATAAATACCAAACGCAATCCAAATCGGTATAAACTTGAGTGTTGTTGCTGGTAACACTGGAGCTGTCATTCTTGTTGAATGACGTTTGCAGATGATTGAGCGCTTGAGTGTTGCCATCTATGTTGCGGGCGAGTTGATTCTGTATGTTGGTATTTAGATTTTCTTTATTCGATAGCTGTGCTAGGACTTGTCTGAAATAAGTAATATTATACAAATTATTAGTACAACGAAATTATCTGTCTGAAATTCGACATAAATGTTCTACATAGTCTGGAAGAACACATAGACTACTTATTTTTTTAATTCTCCGTGGATGGAGCCGTTGCTAAAGTCATTTTAGTTATAAAATACAGTGTGAAAATAAATCTATTGTCATAGCAACAAGTTCTTATGGTGACCATTTGCTGTAAGATATTCAGGTTTTAAGTGAAAACCAAATTAAATTCTTTATCTGTACATACTTTGTATTCTTGTAAGCTCTCCCGAGGTGTATGGCGGCGCGCGCTGTGCTTAAACCTATTTCTAAGACATTATCTAGAAGATTCTTGCCGAAGTCGAATTCTTCTGCTGTCTCTGGACGGTTTTGTCGTTTCCTGAAAGAATTTAAAATATGCATAGTTCTATAATGTTAGGAAGAAAATCCGAAAATAAGCCAGTGTATTGACACAACACTAACTACTAAATTGTCGATGTTTATGTCCCCTCATAATCATTCTGACACAAGACTTTGTAACGAAAGCACGTCATTCGCGTCAAAGGATTTTAATTAATAATGTCTAAAAATAAGGAATTTGAAGTCGGAAAATACGTGAAATGTCAAATTGACAGCGTCATATTTTTACCAATGTTGCCATTTTCATAATTTCGAAATTCCATAAAATTCATGATGTTAACATTAATTTGTTAATCTGTTTGGATGCATCAATTTAAATATTAAGGAGTTACTAGAACTCAGGTCATAAGTTGCATATTAATTCCTTGCAATCGCAACATGGATGACTTTCAATAGAAGTTAAGAAATGTTTGCTGACTAGTAACCCTTAAAACAGGCGCGCTGTCATTGTCAAAAAACTGCTATAAAATCCTTGTGGATAACACAATATCTTTGCAAAAACAGTAGTATTTAAAAGTTTATATATGGCAATCAAGACTAATATAAACACTGAACTCTATAAATGGATAGGCTATAGGTCAAAATATGGAAGGCCTAATTTAGTCCTCTTTCCCTTCCCACCCTTTTTCTTATAAGGAACGGATGGGAAGTGAATATGGACTTTCTGGATAAGAGGATGCATGGAAAGGGAAGATATTTTCTTTCTGTTCATCCTCTCCTCCGTCGATTAAAGGTAGGCAACGCATATGCAATTGCGTATGCCTATGGGCAACGGTCACTTCGCTATTTCAGCGATTTCAAGTGACCGCTCGCTCGTTTGACACCTTATGATTTTCGATATCTTGGCGCTGACGCTACGTTATCTCATAGAAAAACTAAACGAGCGGGTAACTGGTTACTAGAATTTACAAGTATGTAGGTTTTTAGTTTGTGGCATGCTGTAGCCTAAACAAGTGAACAGATTTTGACAAGTCAGGTGTCATTCGGTCATCTTTGGTTTTTAATCTTTTTAATAAAACTTACGCTATCATTTCCTGCTGGTAAATTTCATTTTTCTTCGCTTCCACTTTCCCTGGTTCTAAAAATAATGCGTTGAACGCAAACACTTCGGGGTCTTTCAACATTTTTACTCTTGCAGCTTCCTGAAATATAACTCTTTACTCTTTACTTATACGATGATAGAAAGAGACAGCAACTTACCAGTCATAGAGTATTTATTGTGGTAACAAATTTAAAAGGAACTTTGTATGAAAAAAAAAATTCAATTATTATAGATTTCTAACAAAAAAAGCAAACCATCAAATTAAGATTTAATAAATTAAAAAACATCTTTATATTTCTCTTTTTATTTTTTATTTCTCGTCTTCTTACATCACCGCTCCATCTTTTTAACCCGTCTTAGAGCACTTTAGGTTTAGAAATCTTTATTCTATAATTATGAATCTTTGAAAAATGTACTTGTTTTAAAACTAGGGAAATTCTGACGATAAAACTTAAATAAATAAAAAATGCTTACCTGATTTTCCCAAGCCATTAATTGTATATTATGCAATAACATAACATCTAAAGTTAAAATACCGAACGAAAGTAAATCTGTACTATTACTTAAAATAACTTTCTTATTAACTTGAGTTTTATTATCACTTAAATATATTTCTTTTAATTTACTCATAATTTTAGATATATTTCCTTCAACAATACTATCATTTAATGCTTTCAAAACTTGTCCAAAATGATTATTAGATTCTCTCTTTTTCGTAACATTTACATCAAAATCTGGATCAGAAGTAATCCAATCGTGGAGTTCTTGAACTTTTTCTATTAAATAATTTGTCATTGTGTTACTTTCCATATAATCTTCGTATAGATTGTCATCGTTAAAATATTCTTCATAATCTGTCTCATATCTTCTATATCCTATTAAAGTTTGTCTATTATCGATTTCCGGTAGTTTTGGTATGAATTCCGGTAGCATTTGCTGTGTATATTTCGCTTGGTCTTTCTTTTCTATTTTCTTTTCGGCGTGATGTAACGATGTATCGTGTATTGGATGTAATTGCGGTTTCGATACGAGACTCGTTGTTTTTTTATTATCTCTATTTGATATTATGTTTTTGAATATTGATAATTTTTGAATTATTGGATCGTGGATTTCATTGTCTAGTTCTGTTGTTGTATGTATGTCATCGGTTGTTGTTTTTATAATAGTTTTTCTTGGATCAGAACTTGGATTTGAATATACAGGTTCCTAGAAGAATGTGCTATATCATCATCAGCTCACTATACGTCCCCACTGAATGGCTCGGAGCCTACACTAAGTTAAGGTTGATTAGGCCATAGTCAACCACGTTGACCAAGTGCGGTTGACTTCACACATATCTTTGACTTTCACAGATATGTGCAGCATCACGATGTTTTCCATATGTACAAAAATCGGAAAACACATTGGTACATGGCGGGATTCGAACCCATGACCTGTAGATTGCAAGTCAAGTGCTTGACATACTATATTTGAAACTAGTTGTCGTGTTTGTAAACATAATTAGTAGTCTATGTGTTCTTACAGACTATGTTCTATATGTATGACAAATTTCAACGAGATCCATGCAGCCGTTCTGGAGATATCTTCTAACAAACATCCATTCATCCATTGGAACATTTGCTTTTATAATATTAGTAAGATGGTTAAGGGATGTCTGTAACATCCAAAGACGTGGTCGTGTGTTCGAATTCCGTCTTTCGATTATTACGAAAACCCCTCGAATTATAAATCCGAATGATTCGATTAATCGATGGATGTTTGTTTGAAGGAATCTCCAGAACGGCTACATGGATCTCGATTAAATTTATCATACTTATAGAACATAGTCTGGAAGAACACATAGATTACTATGTTTTTTTTATTATGAGCGGACTCTATGGCTTAAAAGTAGACAACGCATCTGTAATTTCAGTTGGCAGAATCAGGTGACTTTGTTTTGCCACCTTATAATATAAAAAATGTTAATTATCTATGATTAGCATCTATCTCTTTCTATCGTTCTTACCGGTGCTTCATATACTTGGTGAGTATTGTACGTCTCTGTCGCACCCCATTTAGTTATAACAACAGTTGCGAGAACAAGCGCAGCACAAACAGCGAAGCAGGACGCGCTCGCGATTATCCAAACCTTTAGCGGTACCTGAAAAGGTTCCAACCAATTTCCATAAACAACTTTAAGCGTCAATAGCCTAATGGTTAAGGATACGGATTTCCGATCACGAGGTCGTGGGTTCGAATCCTGACATTCGACTGTCGTTAACTAGCACAAGCATATAGCTTAGTTGTAATGGTAAAAGAAATATTAGTAAATTTACAAAAAAATCTGCTAATATTTAAAAAAAAAAACTTAGTTACCTACAATCTACAGATTTACTTACCGTTGGTTTTATCAACCTGCCATTATCCCTATCGAAGGTCGGCACAGTATGTACTCCTCCATACATCTCTATCAGCCGTCATATCCGAGTCTACCCCCTTCTTACGCATATCCTCTTTCACACAGTCATTCCATACTTTTTTGATCTTCCTCTACCTTTGTAGCCATTAACAATCTCATTACTTTTTGCTTACATCATCATCCCTCCTCATAACATGTCCAAACCACGCTAATCTTTTACTCCTCAATTTACTTACCGTTGGTTTCTAATACCATAATATATATAAAACATATTATCACTCTCCTTGTCTATGAATAAACAGAGATAACAATTTTAACGGGGATTTTGGTATCAGAAATCCACGGGTAAATTAACAGAGATGAGTAAAAAACTACTTGTCCATTTGTTTCTAATTGGCCCACATGTTGATGAATTTCCTTGGTCATCAGCTGGCGACGACCTTGCCTATTTACACAATATATATTTTCTTCGGTCGTGGTCTTTTTATATAATTTTTAATACTCCGACGCACTCTGTACTGACCTTTATAAATGGATAGGCGATTGCTTGGAAATGACAGCTTTTGTTTTTTAAACACGCCTTTTGTTATTATGTGATAGTTAATTCTATCTATATTAGTTCAAATCCACACCTCAGCTACAAACCGCTACTATCAGCGGCAAAATGGCGAAATACAAATACGCACAAAATACAACGTCTGATAGCCATTCCATTTATAAAGGCCAGTGGCACTAAATCATTGGTTGGCATGGTTAAAATATAAAAAATAAAACAAAACTCTATGGTTTACTTAGGCCGTTTAGTTTAAATTACCGTTAGTGTTTGACCGAATTCGTAATTCGAAACGGTGTAGGTATAGTACAAATAAAAAAAAACTAAATTGCAAAAAATCTTAACTAGGGTACCTTGCTACTGAGGGAACAGTGTTATGTGGGGTTTTACCCACTAAGACCCCGTCTGTGGCCATCGTCTAGTGCCACTGGACTCCTGTAAGTACTGTTAGAAAGAAAATCCGACACTGTGCCAGTGTGCGCAACACTAGCCTTACTAAAATGTCAACGTTTATGTCCCCTCACTAATCTGACACTTGATTTAGTAACGAAAGCGCGTCATTCGCGCCAAAAGATTCTAACTAATCTATGCTTAACATTATAAAGCGGAAGAGTTTGTTAAAACGCGCTAATCTTAGAAACTACTGGTCCTATTTGAAAAAAAAAATTGTTGGATAGTCCATTTATAGAGGAAGGCTATATAACATTACGCTGCGACCAATAGTTCTTTTAAATTCAGCGCGGCCGGAGTCACGGGCGACAGCTAGTAATGTCTACAACTACTTACACTAGTTTTCGTGGGTATTCTGTCGCACACTGGTCTCGGTGGGAGTGGTCTACGTGCACGATCGTTGACCATAGGGGGCGTAGTTCCCGTAGTATAAGCCCCCCATGATGTTGTCATAGTTGCCCGACTGTCACACGAAGTAGAAGATGGAGGACGCTTCTCGTATTCGTATTGAAACATTCTGGAAAGAAAAGATTAAATTAAGCTTCATCAGCTCACTATACGCATCCACTGAGGGTAGAGTCTACCCTAAGTGAGACTATGTGATAGTGAATGCCGGTCCAGTACAAGACTTCACACATATCTTTGACTTTCTCAGATATGTGCAGCATCACGATGTTTTCCTTCACCGTAACATAAGATAAATGTACATACATATGTACTTTGTAACGGCGGTATTAAAATCAAAAGCTAGAAAGGTATAGGACCGTGCTAAATGGAGCTCCGTTGTCTCTGCCTACCCCTCTGGGTTACAGACGTGAGTTTGTTGTCTAGATATAACGAGAGAGAGTTGGAACTGTTACATGTTCTAATTTCAAAGTAACATTACAAACATTGGCTAGACTAGACATTTAAATGCACTAAACAAATACAAGAAGAAAGTCTTAATACTCTGTTGTCACGCAAATGATACTTTATAGTAGGATCAACTTGTTGGTCCCGGTGAGTAGCGCCCGCGACAAGTTCTGTTAGACAATATGTTAAACTTCATCATCAGCTCACTATACGTTTACAGACTGTACTCTGATTATCCTAATATAGTGACTAGGTCATAGTGAATGCTGACCCAGTGCGGGTTGACTTCACACATATCTTTGACTTTCACAGATATGTTCAGCATCGCGATGTTTTCCTTCACCGTAACAACATACGATAAATGTACATATGTAAATCGAAAATCGAGAATTGTAAAATGTAAAACTTCGACATATAAAATCACATATGAGACACGGCAAGACAGATACAATACGAGAATCTTGTGAGTTTTAGTATTGACAGGGAAACGATACTGAGCTATAGTCAAACAAGGATTTTAAGCGTCAATAGCCTAATGGTTAAGGGTACAGATTTCCGATCACTAGGTCGGGGGTTCGAATCCCGCTATTCGACTATTGTCGTAAACCATATCCTAGCACAAGTATATAGCTTAGTTGTAATGGTAAAAGAAATATTAGTAAATTTACAAAAAAATCTGCTAATATTTTTATTAAAAAAAAAAAAAGATTTAGCTGGTAACAGAAACTACATCGACTACTATGTCGTTTAGTTCTGACAATAAATATATAAAAACTACATGACCATAGATAACAGCATAAAACAAATGACGATTACAGTACGACATAAATCCTGTGACTTTTGACATGTGATGGCGTTAACGAGCTGTCATAATTTATTTTGACTTATGCCCACCGGGTCAGATAAGTTAGTCGGACTGTGACTGCATTTTCTCTAGTAGCTTAACAATATCGTATAATTTGTTAAACTTTAAACAATAAAAGTGGGTTTGCAAATGTTATTCCCACGTTATAAGGCTGTGTAGGAAAGCGTAATTAGCTGTCGCCCGCGACACCGTTTACCCGGTATTAAAAAAAAACTTAATAAGTAGTCTATATGTTCTTCCAGACTATGTTCTATATGTATGACAAATTTCAGCGATATCCATGCAGCCGTTCTGGAGATAACTTCTAACAAACATACATCCAAACATTCGCGTTTATAATATTAATAAGTTAAAGGAAGATCAATGGATTATTAAAGAAATGCAACACCGAAAGCTTTACTTACGTATATCTTTTATATACATACATCTACTTACTTATCTTTTGATTTTAATACACTTTTCTGTTATAACATTTTTATATTGTAAACGACCAAACGTCATCTGGATTCGCCAAAACAGCGAAGCGACCGTGCTTATATTACTAATATTATAAATGCGAATATTTCGATGTATGTTAGAAGGTATCTCCAGAACAGCATAGAACACATAGGTTACTGTTTTTTTTTATTACGCGCGGACATAGTCGCGGGCTACAGCTAGTTTTTAAGTTAGAAATATGTTAGTTAATTTTACGTACCATTTCACTCGCAAAATGTCTCTAAGAGACTTCGTTCCACTTGTCCACAAGAAAACCGTAACTAAGGTCAATGCACTGAGATTCCATCTCACTACGCGGTATAAGGGGATAGAATTTCAGTCAGTTTATAATATAACTAGTTTACAAGGCATATTGTAAACTAATTGAGTATTTAAACAGTGTTTTAATTAGAGGATTCAATACTGTCAAATAGTCTACTTTCTTTGAGTTTTTAACGTGAGTTGTGCTATTCTGTCGCCCGCGACTCCGTCCGCGCGGAATTAAAAAAAAATGTCTTACAGTGAATGAAAACATTGTGATGCAACTTATCTGAATGAATGAAGAAATTTAAAGATATGTGTGAAGTCAACCCGCACTTGGCCAGCGTGGTTGACTATGGCCTAGTCACCCGTAATATAGGGTAGGCTCTGTGATAGTGAATGTCCAGTGCAGGACTTCACACATATCTTTGAATGTCTCAGATATGTGCATCACGATGTTTTCCTTCACCGTAACAACATAGGATAAATCATACTAATATTATAAATGCGAATGTTTAGATGTATAGATCACAGCTGAACGAATCTCGATGAAATTTGTCATACATATAGAACATAGTCTGGAAGAACACATATACTACTAATTATTTTTTTTTTAACTCCGCGCAGACAGACAACTAGTGTAGAAAGAAAATTAAAAATGGAATAACATATACATAAGTCAAATGCTCTTAAAACACTAACACTTAATAGGGTAAATAAATCAGTTTAGACCACCCATGAGTTGTTGATTATAAAAGCAAAATATCAAAGAACGTTTGTTCTTTATCAAACATCTGTTGTAATTAGTAATGTTTAACGTCTGTATACATCCTTTTCTAACAGTTACTTAAATTGGTCAATAAGGGGATCCCTTAGTGAGGATAGAAATCAGATTGGCATCTATATCAGTGGTTCCCAAACTTATTTTGTCTACTCCCCACTTTGAGAATAAATATTTTTAGCGCCCCCATATTAGTTGATGTTCACAAGTTATTGAGAGTCGAGAGTTCATGCAGTCGTTGTCTAAGAGGCCTCCTAGCTAAATAAAATTACAAATCACCCCCAGGCCTCTACAACGCCCCCATTTTCTTTCTGGGTCTCTTACCGCCCTGAGACCTGCAGCGCCCACAAGGGGGCGTTTTCGCCCACTTTGGGAAAAACTGGTCTATATCTTACAAATATTATAAATGCATAAGTTTGTTTGAAGATATCTCCAAAACGGCTTGACATATCTTAATTAAATTTGGCATACATATAGAACATAGTCTGGAAGAACACATAGACTAATTAAGGTTTTCTAATTCAGCACGGACTGAGTCGCGAGCGATAGCTAGTCTATTATAAAAGGGTATATTTGATTGTTTATATTGAATAAGTTCCGAAACTACTAAATAGATTTGAGTAATTCTTTCACTGTAGTGAAGTTACAATATCTGCGAGTAACACAGCCTTTGTATATTACATTTTTTTCTATTCCATGTATACTAAGTCGCCTGCAATTAACGCCTATGCCTACCACGCCTAAATTTAACAGTGGTAGAGCCCGCTTTAACATCGCACGAATCGGCCCGGCTCGCCCGGTGAAATACCACGACCACACAGAAGACAGGCGTCAAGTGGAAGCAATTCCGCGTTTCGTCTGATGAGTGGGCGTCCCGGAGACCTAATTAAGGAACTTTCCGGATGAGAGGATGCATGGAAAGGGAAGATATTATCTTTCTGTGCATCTCCTCCGTCGATTAAAGGTAGGCAACGCATATGCAATTGCGTAAGTCTATGGGCAACGGTCACTTCGCTATTTCAGCGATTTCGGGTGGTCGCTCGCTCGTTTGCCAACTTATGGTATGTAAAAAAAAATTCTAGTATAATATTTTTACGTTATATATTTTATTCTATATTTAAGTTATCGTATGACATGCATCGGTTTCAACACGATATTACAATTGCAAAGTGGGGTTAACAGTGTCAACTTACTTAATTCCTTATATACACGTTTTAAATAAATTTTATACCGTGGCATTTAACTGCAGACTACATATTGACAAATATTGTCATTTTATTATTATAATATTTTATAATAATAAAAGGAATGATATTATCTCCTATATACTCGTATATAGATATCTAAAAGAAAGTGGTGTTAGTTACACTATTTATAACTCAAGAACGGCTTTACCGATATGACTGAAAATTAGTGAGGAGGTAGCTTAGAGCCAGGAGACGGACATAGGATACTATTTATTCATTTTTATTCGAATTTATGCCTTGAAGAGCTGCTTTTTATTTAAGTTACTAATATTATAAATGCGAATGTTTAGATGGATGTGATGTGGCTGGATGCATGGGTGAGCTACACTAATTTTCTTATATATCCACGCGGACGGAGTCGCGGGCGACAGCTAGTAAACAACATGTGAATGCCATAGTTAATAAGATTATTTAACTGCAGCAATAGGGAAGAGAGTATCTTCTTGAAAACTAGCTGTCGCCCGCGACTCTGTTAGCGCTGAGTTAAAAATCGATAGTAGCCGATTGTAAGAGCTACTGAATACGCGTATAAAATTAAATAAAAAAACTGGAGTTTGGTAGCTTACTTTGTGTCACGAGAATTTTATATCTTACTAATATTATAAATGAGAATATTTATATGGATGGATGTTTGTTTGAAGGTATCTCCGGAACAGCTCAGTAATTTAGCACACATGTAGAACATAGTCTGGAAGAACACATAGGCTACTCACAAAGGTTTTTTTTTTAGTTTCGTGGGTACGCTTTTCGCAGGTTCGGGGAGACGCGGGCGACAGCTAGTATAAGATAAAATTGTGCTTTATACGATTATCGTTTATTTTTATTTATCATTTTTAAGTTATAATTACAAGTTATAGGAAGTTAATTTATCTTAAAATCTATTGTGACATTGAAATCTAGTCGTGGGAAACAGCAGTAACGGTGTTTTGTTAATTATTGTACTGGTGCTTAAGACCAGGGTTACTATAGTTATGTTTTTACATATACGTATAATGGAACGAAGAAAAAGTAAAGTCGTTTACATATAGTAACTTATTACAAACCATTATTTGCCCGCGTAAATTAATTAGTTCCTGGCAATATTTTATTTTCTCACCCTTTAAACCTTCCCTAGATCTCCACGAATATTTCAAGACCAAGTTAAGATAAATCCGTTCAGCCGTTCTCGAGTTTTAGACACTAACGAAATGCAATTGATTTTTATATATATAAAGATAAAGTTAGAGTGTCTGTATGTAATATCGAAAAAAATATATTTCGCGTACATAATGTATTTGCAATACTTATATCGATTTTTACATTTTTGTCTGGTTGTCTGTCTCCAAATTCTAGCTAATGCTTGCGAGAATATTATAGGCTACTTTTTAATTTTTTTTTTGTTTATTCCGCGGTGACGAAATTGTTAAAAACAAACAAAAAACAACACTGGCTATCCATCTTTTAATGAATTGAAATTTAAAAAAAGAAGTCAAATCCTCGTTGGCTGCACGCGACTGCGCATTCGCCTTATGTCATTAAAAATAATTAAGCCGTTTCCCGCTCTTTATTACTTAAGCTTAGTTGTTTTTGATGAATGGCTTTTTTTGATATTTGACCTAATATAGATGAATTTACTAAAAGTACGGTTATTCATACCAAAAATACCAACAAGAATTATAATAGTTGTTAGTGTTTGATTTTTAATAATTGTTGTAGCATAAATATGTAGACGCAGTTGCGAAATAATAAAAAATCATAAACAAAATAATGAATATAAAAATACCCACATGTCACTTCCTTATTCGCCAATATATAGTTAAAATAAAATATAAAAACAAACACACATCACAAACACAAAACAATTAATTAAAATAAACGAATTAAATGTCAAATTGAAACCGCGATTTTTGTTTTTTTTTTTTACAAATTAAAAGGCAAAAGCAGCACGCGCGTGCGGCCAGCGCTGTTACCGGTTTTTGTCCGACTAAAGAATTGTCAACGTAACTGTACTAAGTTGTGAAAGTTTCGCTGAGAGAAACAAAGTGTAAGTAAATATAAACTATGCATTTGTCGGAACACTTATAGACACATGCTATCCTTTTTCATTAACATATAAAAGAGAGAGATAACAATATGTTTCACATGTTTTTTTTTAAATATGACGTTAAATCTATAATTGTTTTTAATAAAACATCGTCAAATGAAATGTAACCTATAAGGTTAAGAATTAAACTTTTTTCGGTTGTAAAAAATCAAATATTTTTTCTGATTCATTGCATTTCGCAGTAATGTGCCAATATATTTTGAAAGTTCAAACTCAGCTGTTCATAAATATGAAGTCAATATTTCGTAACCATGCATTAAACTGCATTCGATATTTTAAATGCGAAAGTTTAGTTGGAAGGATGGATGTTTGTTAAAAGGCATCTGCAGAACGGCTACATGGATCTCGATGAAATTTGACACAGATCTAAAACATAATCTGAAATAACACTTAGGCCACTAAGTTTGTTTTCAATCTCGCGAAGACAATAAATTTTATTACAAACTAGCTGTAGCTCGCGACTCCTTCCTCGCAAGATTAAAAAAAAAAAAATTAGTGGTCTATGTGTTCTTCCAGACTATGTTATGTATGCCGACTTTGATTGAAATCTATGCAGCCGTTCTGAAGATACCTTCAAATATCCATTTATATTAGTAATAAGTAAGAAGATACAAAAAATTAATTTGAAATTACGCGGAAAAGCAAGAATGAGAGTTGCAATAAACCAGTAAATAAATTGATTTAATCACATTTTTAATATAAACGCAGTTTAATAACTCTATCCATATTCTTATAACCTTAAAGGTGCAAATAACTTTGTACCTATGTACACATAACATTATCACTCATGTAATAACGAGTTCAATTAACATGAAACTGCTTTCAAAATAACGGTATTCTAGTTAGTAAGTTAGTGATAAATAACCTATTAACCTAACACAATATTTTGTATCTGTGCTCTTTTTGCATGATGACAGAACACTAACCTTTATAAATGGACCGGCTAAACCACGTAGTAATTTGTGCCAATTTGATTGTCGTATTCAGTTTACGTAAGTATGGATTCAAATTGATTTTTCAGAAGAGAATATAAGGGATATTTTTTGGTAATGGAATCTAAAAGAAATTGATTGACACCGCAAACTCACGAGAAACCTTTATTATCGTGAGTTTTAAAGACCAAAATCTTTACTAATATTATAAAGCGGAAGAGTTTGTTTAAACGCGCTAATCTCAGGAACTACTGGTCCGATTTGAAAAATTATTTTTTTGTTGGATAGTCCATTTATAGAGGAAGGCTTTAGGCTATATAACATTACGCTGCGACCAATAGTTTTTTTTTTAATTCCGCGCGAACGGAGTCAGCTGACAGTTAGTATCTTTATAAAATCATCATCCCTGTTGTCTTTGATAAAACAGAGGTAATATTTTAATCATAGATTTCTTAGAAACCCACAGTTACATGTGTAGAATACAAAATGCTATTGAAACATACAGATAAAAATTTACAAACGCGTCAAATCAATCTAAAAGAAATAAAACAACGTTAATATTGTTTTTTTTTTATTATTTTCAGTCATCTAGAAATAATCAAAGATTCAGTTAAATGTCGAGTTTAAAATTTGTAGCGTAACAATAGTATTGTCAATCTGAAGGATCACTAGTTGCTACAACTGCGTCTGTCGATCCTGCTGCCGCTGCTGCATCTGGGAGACGTTAAACAGTATCATCAGCTCACTATACATCCCTACTGAGGGTCTCATCTACCCTAAGTGAGAGTATGTGATAGTGAATGCTGGTCCAGTGCAAGACTTCACACATATCTTTGACTTTCACAGATATATGCAACACAATGTTTTCCTTTACCCTAAGAACGTTTACAGTGGTATAATTCTATTCAAATATCTAGGCGGCTCTGAACTTCGCAGTAATCACTGTACATAATTTTAATTGAAGACATGCGTCAAGGGAAAACAATTCTGTGTACAGTCTGATCAGTCTTCCCCACTCTTTTCTTATGAAAGGCTGGGAAAGGGAAGTGGATTTATTGAAGGAAGTGATAGGAAGGGGAAAAATGTCGTCTGTGCGTCTACTCCGTCGATTAAAGTGGCCACTTACTTTCGATACCTCATTATAAAATAGGGTGCCTCTACCAAATATATATTAATTATGTTAACAGAAATTGTGAATGTATTTAAGATTAGTTTAGGTAAATTAAAAACTGACGGCAATACAAATTTGCCATGAGTTATTTGTAATGAGTAATTTAAAAAAAATGTGTATATTTTTTTACTAATTGAATTTACCAGTGGTTACTTCAGACGCCGCTGATCCTGCCGTTGTCAGAGCACCACTTGACTTGACGTTTGGATCCCTGGAAGAGAAATTTGTTAGTTTTACTAATATTATAAATGCGAATGTTTAGATGTATGTTTGAAGGTATCTCTAGAACGACTGCATGGATATAAATTAAATTTGTCATACATATAGAACATAGTCTGGAAGAACACATAAAATACTATGTTTGTTTTTAATTCTTGCGAGAAAAAAAATTCTAATCGTTTCAGTAGTTTTAAAGTTAACGTCTTATTACCTGACGCCCGCGATTTCGTCCGCGCGGAATAAAAAAAACAGAATCAGTATCCTATGTGTTCTTTCAGGCTATGTTCGATAACTTTTAGCGAGAGCCATGCAGTCGTTCTAGAAATATCTTCTAACATACACCCATCCATACATTTGCATTTATAATATTAGTAAGAAGTATTGAAAAAGTATCGACAGTAACTTTTTTTTTATTTTTGTTTTTAGAGTAAATTCTAGTTTGTCTATGGTTTTGATTACTTACTTGATCTCCATAATACTCTTAGTAACTTCATCACTTCCGAGCATAAATACAGCTTGATAAACCCCTTCGTAAGTTGTCGCGTATTCTGTTATCCTTATCTTTATAGATGTCGATGTTGCCTAACAAAACAAAAGTATAACTGTATTCAAAGATAACAGCGGCTCGGAGTTATATTGCCGCACACATTAGCTACGTCCTAGTCAAAGTCCCGACAAAATCGGTCCGTCCGTTCCGGAGATTATCCGGTACAAACGAAAACTTGCCGACAATTATACAAACAGTATTACTTCCAGATAATCCAATTATATGTAAAGATATTTTAGTCTTTAACAAAGACTAATGGTCACCCGCAACTTTGTGCGCGCACTATAAAAATTTAGCCTGACTTATGCCCTCGTTTATCAGGTCCCTTCCTGTTAAGTCCCGTCAAAAATTTATCCACCCATTGCGGAGCTAACACGGAAGAAATGCAGACAAATGGACAGACAAAATTTTTTGAAATTGCATTTTCGCTAAAGCAACGCAAATACAAAATGTATAAGAAATATTTTAATACAATCAGTCACTGCAATTTTATTATATTTATATATATATATTAGTCTGTCTTTTATCAAAGACAATGAAACATGGGTTCTACGTTGTACGGTGTGGCGTAAAAATTTAAAGAATTATCGCTTTAGTGGTGAAATTCATATTATACTTACAAAAAAAAAGGCAACCGACCCAGTGGTACTTCTCCGTGTTGAAGTTGGCACTGGAATGCCGTTAACAAACACCTGTATAATATTCAAACATAAAACAATATTCAATTATTCAATCGTATCACACAAAGGTTAAGTTTTATTTTAGAACTTGAACAAAGTAATTTTAAAGATCGTATGCAAAATTGAAAATGCTTTCTCTTGTTATTTTTTAGGTACCTCATAAGATAAAAACGGAACCCTTATGTAATAACTTTGTTGTCCGTCCGTCTGTCTTGACAGACAGACGGACGGACGAATTTTTATTTAACTTATTAATATTATAAATGCGAATGTTTAGATGGATGTGATGTGGATGGATGGGCTACACTAATTAAGTTTTTTATACATCTACGCTGACGGAGTCGTGGGCGACAGCTAGTTTAATTTAAAAATGGCGACTTGCATACATCTAGAAAAAAATGTTTCTTGTGCGTTTACGGTAGTAGTGTTCAGAGGCCTAGTCTTTCTTGGGACAATGGGGGTTAAATGAGGTCTAGACTTAAGGCAAGCTCATGCCATACACAATCAGTCTGTTAACTCCCGAAATATACCTCACCTTACTAACAGTACAATCGTCACAAACATATGTTATTTCTTGTTCAAACTGTTGACCAAGAGGCGGTGGAGCTACTGTTTGGAACTGTACGGTAACACCTGCGAAATATTATAAGAATAAAGGTTCATCTTACTAAGATAAATGAGAAAGTTTATATTGAAGAACGTTTGTTAGAAAATATATCCGGAACGGATCAACGGATTTTGATGTAATTTGTCATAGATGCAGAACATTATGTGGAAAAACATATAGGTTATTAGGTTTTTATCTTAATTCCTTAATTCGAAATCGAACAATGCTTGAGAAGCTTCAGAGCGAGACAAAAGTATGAGAATACAAAACGTTTGTCCTGCTCTGACCCGACTGTTCCGATGATTCAGGATTATGTCGGAACCTTACAGTATTAGTATGGTATTAAAACTTATAAATTTTAAAGCCTTGTTTTTATTTACTTATATTATTTACGTACCTTGAGCTACAAACAAAAGAGTTATAATTAAAAAAAATACTTAGTGTTAGGAAGAAAATCCGATACTGTACCGGTATATCGGCGCAACACTAGCCTCACAAAAATGTCGACGTTTATGTGTCCCATCACTAATCATTCCAATAAAATAATCGGATATCCTTTAAGTTAAAATAAAATTAATCTTATTAATATTATAAATGCGAATGTTTAGATGGATGTTTGGTAGAAGCTATCTCCAGAACGACTGCATGAATCTCGCTGAAATTTGTCATAGATGTAGAACATAGTCTGGAAGAACACATAGACTACTAATTAAGGTATTTTTAATTACGCGGACGGTGTCGCGATATTTATTTCACATCATTTTTAACAAAATATGTGCAAACAGAACCTTACCATCATCTGAAAACATAAATAAAAGATAATTAATAAAAGAATAACGTAAATTTAGAAAAATTAAGAGATTTAAATCATCATCAGCTATAAGTTCCAACTGAGGGTAGAATCTACCCTAAGTGAGACTATGTGATAGTGAATGCTGGTCCAGTGCAAGATCACCCATATCTTTGACTTTGTCAGATATGTGCAGCATCATGATGTGATTCAAAAGTCGTACATAATTGAACTTAATTCAATACTTACTGTCAATAACAGCTAAAATCTTCTTGAAAACTTTATCCTTTGATTTGAAGAAACCCATGTAAACACACGAATGATTATCTTCATACCTATAATACGTAGACAACTAATGTAATTGCTTACCGTGGGTTTCTGACACCAAAATGTTTGTATAATAATATATTGTCATCCCTGTCATTATCGTTGACAAATACAGAGATAACAATATATTTGAGACGGAGATTTTTGTCTCAGAAACTTCCGATCAATCAGTTATCGTCCGACCAGTCTTTATTTGACATCTCTCTAATATTATAAATGCGAATGTTTAGATGGATGTTTGTTAGAAGGTATCTCCTGAACGGTTCAACGGATTTTGATTAAATTTGGCATAGTTGTAGACATACCAGACATAGTCTGGAAGAACAGATAGGCTTATTTTTTTCTTATTCCTCGCGAACGGAGGAGGGCGACGGCTAGTAGTCATACTCTGTACGTTCATTACCTGGGAAAGTTAAAGCTTATCATCTTTGATACTCTGATGATTGACACCCGTCCTGCTGCTAACACGCTCTCTCCATTGCATAATATATCAGTTATCTGACAATCGTCACAAGTGTATTGCATTGTGCGATCAAAATGACCTCCCACTTCAAATGACGCGGTCAGACGTGGACAGTCGATCACTGAACGAAAGAAACGAATTCACTATTATAATGTGTCTATTTAAGATAGATTAGTTTGACAATAAAATTGACAAAACTGATATAAAAACGGCTAAACACTCACATATAATATATATGTCCGATGTCGGCACCGACTAGTTTCGAGTCTATCGGGGGCCCTTCATCAGGATGAGTGGTACTGGTATTATATCGCGGACGCGTCCCGTCGCTCACTAGTCGGTGCCGCCACCGGACGAATATACGTAAGTGTTTAGCCGTTTTTATATCATTTTAGTATAATGTCTCACGAATGTTTGAATAATTCAATTGACAATTCACTAGATATGGGTTTAGTAAAATCGATTAAGAATTTTTACGATTTTCGATTGTTGTTCTCATAGAATTTGCAATCAAAAATTTCGTGAAGATTGATTTTAAATTACAATATAAATAAAATTGTTTCTTTCTATTCCTACTTTATCTATCATAACGATATAAATAAATAAGACATTAAACCAAAAAATTACGGTGTTGTACAATTTTTTTAAGTTAATTGTGCGATACATAGCCGAATAACTGTTATAAATTCAAAATTTGATAAAATACCTAAATTATTGTACCGATTTATTCGATTAATTTTAAAACAAGACAGATTCTTGATAGTTCACAGTTATTCGTTGCGTGGTCCGACACTATGACAACCGTCCATTAAGTATAACATTAATCCTCATACAAAATTAATTCAATACTTTATAGACGTCAGTAGTCAAACTAATCTATCTTAAATAGACACACTATAATGGATTACTTTGTTATGTAACCACGGGTTTATCTTATATATAAAATTCTCGTGTCACAATTTTCGTTCCCATACTCCTCCGTAACGGCTTGACCGATTTTCATGAAATTTTGTGAGCATATTGAGCAGCTCTGAGAATCGGACAACATCTATATATAATCCCGCCCGAACGGAGTCGCGGACGACAGCTAGTGAATACATAATATACGTATAATGCCATCCCTGTCATTATTTCTGACAAAAGAGAGATGTTTTAAATAGAAATTTCATTTTCAGCAACCCACTGTTTGCGATTGATTATTGAAGTTAACAAGACAAGTAATAAGTTTTATCTTTTTGAGTTTATTTCGCTTTTAAATAATGAAAAAACTATACTTACCATTTTCTGTAATTGAAAAAATATTCGTAAAATTGTTAATATTAAAAAAAATAATTAATTTAATAGGAACGAATAGATAATATCTTACCAACATCTAACATAAAACAAAAAAAAAATTACTAAAAGTTTTGACAAAAAATAAAAAAAAAAACAAAAAAATTATCTATCCAAACAGGCATTACCATTTTCTGAAAAAAAAGAGAAACGTTATAATTTCTGGCAAACACAATCTTACTAATATTATAAATGCGAATGTTTGCGCGTACGCTTATTAGAATATATCTCCAGTACAGCTGTATGGATATTACTAACATTTGTCATAGATATAAAACAGTCTGGAAGAACACATAGACTACTATTTTTTTTAATTCCACGCGAAAGTAGTCGCTGACAACTAGAACTAACTAGAATAATAACTCCAATGTCTTGTATAACATATAAGAAACTAACTAAAAAAAAATCGAACTTACCCGGAGCTGTAAGATATTAAAAAAATGAAATAAAAAAAAACGTATATTTTCATCACTATTATCATTATCTTTGTAAAACATAAGTACAGTGTGATTGTTATAAAATTTAAAAAAAAAAACTTTTTTTTTAAATAAACATCGACTTACATAGAACCGTGAGTCCTTTAACTCTCTCTTCAAGGCCATCGCCATTTTGTATGACAAGAAAATAATCACCAAAGTCTTGAGGCTTCATACCTTCTAGATCAATTTCAAGGAATTGTCGTCTACAATTAAATAAATTAAATAAATCTACAACTCTAAAATCTTACTAATATTATAAATGCGAATGTTTAGATGTATGTTAGGAGATATCTCCAGAACGACTCAACAGATCTTGATGAAATTTGTCATAGATCTAAAGATCTGGAAGAACACATAGACTATTAAGTTTTTTTTTAATCCAAATTAAAGACAGCCAGTGTTTGATATTGTTAAAATTGATAAATTATTGGTGTGTTTTTTAGCAAATTGAAACAAAAATACAAAATATGTACTTACGGCTTGCCCTCTCTGAAAATAAATAAATTTATATGTTAATTATATTTAATTTATGAATTATCTCTTAATTATTAAATATGAAGATAAATCATAAAATTTGTAAATTTATTAAATAATCCAATCATTACTAGATTAAAAAAAACGTTCTACCAATTTAAAATTATGTGAATACGTTTGAGTAATTAGATGTCAAAGAAGGGGGACAGATTTGGCAGGGAGGACGCGTAGAAAGAGATATTTCCTTCTCTATCTGTCTCCCCTCCTCTGTCGATTAAAGCTAGGCAACCTATCTTAAAATACAAATGTGGCCGCTGTTCATTTGCCTACTATTATTACAAAAAAAAAAAAAAACAAATTTTAATTTGAACTGAAATTTATTGACCACTTCAAGTAAAACTTTGACATCTGTCAGAATGCGATAAATCCATTGAATAAATAGTCTGGCTATAAGATCGAATATTTTGTGCCCATTTGAATTCCGCCATATTGGCGCTGTATGTATCAGTTGGTAGTGGTGGCGTAAATTCAAACTAATAAATTAGTACCGTCACGTAACAACAACAGATGCGTTAGATTTTTTTTATGTCATAAGGTGGCAAACGAGCGAGCGGCCACCTGAAATTACTGGAACAGCAAAGTGACCGTTGCCCATAGACATACGCAATTGCATATGCGTTGCATACCTTTAATCGACGGAGGAGAGGATGCACAGAAAGAAAATATCTTCCCTTTCCATGCATCCTCTCATCCGGAAAGTCCACTTCCACTTCCCATCCTTTCCTTATATGAAAAAAGGTGGGAAGAAAAAGAGGAGTAAATTAGGCCTCCGGGACGCACACTCATCAGACTGTACTTGGAATTGCTTCCATTTGACGTCTGTCTTCTGTGTGGTCGTGGTATTTCAATGAGCGAGCCAGGACAATTCGTGTGAACATTCTAAAGCGGGCTCTACCACTGTTGTGAAAAAAAAAAGCTGTAATTTCCAAGCAATCACCTATCCATTTATAGTTTTAGTACTCACCTGTCAATGAATTCTTTAACTCTATGCCTAGAGTTGTCAACATTGTATACGTTGCCGTCTGAAGCTCGCACCATAAGATTCAATAGCCTACATCGATTGCATTTAAAAGGCACCACAGTACTATTGACACGCTGTCCGTGAAGCAATTCTATTGATTTTGGTGTTATAGTCATGCCACTTGGAGCTATAAAAAATGTCACTCTGTGTCAATGCGACTCTGATAGCGCAAATAAAAAAAAATATAATAAGTAGTCTATGTATTCTTCTAGACTGTTCTAAATTTTTCTTCTTATTATATAATACATAAATACGTATGTTTAGATGAATGTTTGTTAGAAGGTATCTCCTGATAGGCACAATGGATCTTTATGAAATTTGGCATAGATGTAGAACATAATCTGGAAGAACACATAAGCTACTAATTATGTTTTTAAGTCCGCGCGGAGAGAGTCGCGGGCGAAAGCTGGTGCTAAAGCTACCCGCTACTTGTATACCAAATTTCAACGAAATCCATTCAGCCGTTCTTGAGATATCTTCTAACAAACGTTCCTATTTATAATGTTAGTAAGCAATCAAACTCGTATTATAATTATTTTGGTTTCAATAATCTATATCTATCTATATATATAAAAGAAAGTGGTGTTAGTTACACTATTTATAACTTAAGAATGGCTTTACCTATGAGACTGAAAATTGTTGAGGAGATAGCTTAGAGTCAGGAGACGGACATAGGATACTATTTTCGAATTTATGCCTTGAAGAGCTGCTTTTTATTTAACTTACTAATATTATAAATGCGAATGTTTAGATGGATGTGATGTGGATGGATGGATGGGTGAGCTACACTAATTAAGTTTTTTACATATCCACACGGACAGAGTCGCGGGCGACAGCTAGTAACCACTAAATGTGGGTTTCTAAGACCAAAACCTTCGTATCTCGTGTTTTATCAAAGATGATGATACAGAAATTTTGGTATCAGAAACGCATGATAAGTCAGATTAACGATACTTACATAAAGTCAAAAACTTTAAAACCTTCTCCCTTTTAGTTCCAGGTTTGATGAAACTGGCAAAGAATGGACCCACATGTGTACTTGACCAGGTTGGAAAGTTCAAAGTGACAGTAACAGTGTTGCCAGAAACATCCGCGGTGTAATATTTAGTTGGTAATACAGACTGAAACAAAAATCATAGATTAAAAAAATAACCTATGGTTGGATGTTTTTTTTTATATAACAGAAGGGAGCAAACGAGCAGCGGAAACAAGGTGTTCAACGACACCCATGGACATCAATACCATAGGAACTGCAGATGTGTTGCCGGCCTTTGAGATGGTGATACTCTCGCTTCTTGAAGGACCCTAAGTCGTAGCGGTTTGGAAATATGTTTATTTGAAGGTATCTCCAAAACGACTCAACTGATCTCGATAAAATTTGTCATAGATGTAGAACATAGTCTGGAAGAGCACATAGACTACTAATAAAGAGTTTTTTTATTTCGCATGGAAAGAGTCACGGGCGACAGTTAGTGTTATAATTGTGAAAGTCTAGATGGATAACTGATGAATGTTTGTTAGAAGGTATCTCTAGAATGGCTGTATGGATCTCGCTGAAATTTGTCATAGATGTAGAACATAGTCTGCAAGAACACATAGACTACTAATTAAGTTTTTTTTTATTCAGACAGTTAGAAGATAATTTAAATTTGTCATAGATGTAGATTATAGTCTGGAAGAACACATAGGCAATTTTTTTTTAATTCTAGTCGGATGGAGTCGCGAGCGTCAGCTTTTTAATCTTGTTAAAAATATAGAGAATTGAAAAAAGAAACTCACAGTTCCCGAGTTCCGTAGTAAACTTGAATGTTTGATACGATGGAATTCGTATCCATCCGGGATAATTATCTTTCGGGGACTACTCGTGTAGTTCCTAGCAGTTGGTGGTACCCATTCTTCTAAACTATCCTCTAAAAATACCTATTTGTTAATTAAAGCATAAAAAAGCTCGAAAGATTGTATCTTATAACACTCTTTAAAAGATTTTTTTTATATCAAGGCGGCTAACGTGCTGAAATAGCGAAGTGACCGTTGCCCATAGACATACGTAATTACATATGCGTTGCCTATCTATCGACAGAGGAGAGGATGCACAGAAAGATAATATTTTCCCTTCCTATGCATTCTCTCATCTGGAAAGTCCACTTCCACTTCCCATCATTTCACAAGTAAAGGGTGGGAAGGGAAAGAAGACTAAATTAGGCCACTGGGACACAATTACGAAGAGAATGACACCTCACTTGTCAAGATCACATCAGTTGTTAAGGATTTATGAGGTTAAAATGTTTTTTTAAATATCATTTAGTAAATAAAAATAGACTTACCTGGTATTGCTGATTAAATAAAAATAAATTATTTAAAATCAATGCCTTAGTATTTTAATTTAAAAAGTAAAAAGAAAATTGGCGCCAATTTGAAATTGACATTTAGAGGTTAGGTTATTTTTAAGCCACCGTTACGAGGCAACGGCTTAAATTTGAAAAAACAAAAAAAATTGACATCGTTAACTTACGTGGTACAATTTCTGTAAAATAATATAAATAAGTTTTTTTAAAACAGCAAGAAAATATATTGTTTAAAAAATCAATATTTTTATTGAGATCTTTTGGCCGCCATCTCACACATCTCCACTGAGGGTAGAGTCTACTCTCAGTGAGAGTATGTGATAGTGAATGCTGGTCCAGTGCAATACTTCACACATTTAACTTTCTCAGATATGTGCAGCATCACGATGTTTTCCTTTATCGTACGAAACTTATTTTAGTAAAAACTTACCGTCTCCTGTAATTTAATAAATAAAATTAATTTAAAAGTAAACTTCGATTTTCCCAATTAATAACAAGTGTAGAAATCAATATAATTTTTTTTAAATATTCTCGCAAAAAAAAGCTACTTTCCAGTCAAAGTATTAAAAATATATTTTTCATTAGAAGTTACGCAAATACATTAGTACGAAATATGTTTTTTTCTATTTTCCAATTTTATTAATTGTATAGGATATAGCCTAAACAGATAGACAAAAAAATTGACTTACGTTCATATTCTAAAAAAAAAAATAATTATCAAATATTTAATAAATCCCAATAACCAAGTATCCTCAGCCGTTAAAAAAAATTATCAACACATTTTTGTACTTCGTGAAAAAAAAATTGTTCCATTTTTGAATATCGTATTTGATTGTAAATAGAAAATTAAATAAAACTTACCATCGACTCCTAAAATAAAAAAAAAAAAAAATTTTAAATACAGATAAAACAATATAGACTCGGGTGTCAAAGATTTTTTACACACTAAAACTTAATAAAAAATTAATTACTTACTTTCAGCTAGAAAACAAATATTAGCTATTATTTTTTAATAATACTCATAAAACTTATTAAAATATTAACCCCTTGGGTATGGATTTATTTGAGAAAATATTAAAAGTTAAATTTTTGGTTTGACGTCTTAGAAACGTCATCCGCTTTTAGGAGAAAAAAGTGAATGACATGTCTTAGACGTCAAATACATGATGTCCCAAAAGGTTACGTACATAGGAAGGGGTATGATAGGGGTGGTCACAAGGGTCACCAGAAAAATTAAATAAAAATTCCCCTCTGGGTATTAAAAAAAGTAAATGGCATTTTTTAAAAAATTAAAAATTTTACACCTTCTGGGGCAATTTTAATTTAACTTTAAAATCTTTGTTAGTTGTATTGTTTTTTTTTTATTTCATATTGATAAAGGGTTATTGACGATAACATAATAGCTTTTTTTTAAATATAGCAATATTTGTAGGTCAAAAAAATTCCATTTATTTTTTTTAATACCTAAAGGGGAATTTTTATTTAATTTTTCTGGTGACCTTTGTGACCACCCCTATCATACCCCTTCCTATGTACGTAACCTTTTGGGACATCCTGTATATCCAAGGGGTAAAAAAACATCGTTAATAAAATTCTTTTACTTACAATAATTATCTGAAAAGTAGGAAAATAAATTTAATAGAACAAATTCAATATTTTAAAAATACAAATATGAATAAATTAGAAATTTATTAAGAAACTTTTAACAAATGAAAAAATTGCGAGAAACAATTGTTTACGTCAAAGGCATTTACACTCTGGATTTAAAACACTTTAAATGAAACAGCCAAAGTCGAAATAATATCACCACAGACAAACTAAGAGAGCGTCGGTGGCTCAGTGGTCAAGCACTTGACAAGCAAACTACAGGTCCTGGGTTCGAATCCCGCCATGTACCAATGTTTTTATATTCCCGATTTACATATGTACATTTATCCTACGTTGTTACGATGAAGGAAAACATCGTGATGCTGCACATATCTGAGAAATTCAAAGATATGTGTGTATTAGGCCATAGTCAACCCGCACTTGGCCAGCGTGGTTGACTATGGCCTAATCACCCTTAACTTAGGGTAGGCTCCGAGCCCCTCAGTGGGGTATAGTGAGCAGATGATGTTGAGACAAACTACATTATTTATCGCTAAAAATCAAAGCAAATAATCTATATATATAAAAGAAAGTCGTGTTAGTTACACTCTTTATAACTCAAGAACGGCTTTACCTATATGCCTGAAAATTGGTGAGGAGGTAGCTTAGAGCCAGGAGACGGACATAGGATACTATTTATTCATTGGTTTCGAATTTATGTCTTGAGGAATTGCTTTTTACTTAACTTATCTATATATTAAGTTATACGCGTATTAAGTTGTTATAAGTACACGCGGACGGAGTCGCGGGCGACAGCTAGTTTCTAATAAAACACAACACAATTTTTCAAATCGGTTCAGTAGTAACGAAGTCAATACAATTTAAGCAATCAAATCTTTCTCTTTGTTTTATTAATTGTTGCCCGCGACTCCGTTCGCGCGAAATTAAAAAAACATAGTATGTTCTATATGTATGCCAAATTTCATCAAGATCCGTTCAATCGTTCTGCAGTCATTCAAACAAACATACATCTAAACATTCGCATTTATAATATTAGTAAAATGTACTTACGCCAGAGTTCGTTAGCCAGCACAGCTTGATCTGGTGAAGGTAAGGAGTAAATGTATCCAATCTGACATGGGTTCCAGTGGTCACAAACCTCGTGATCAGGGTCTAATTCGGTTACGAATTTATACGTCTGAAAAAAAAAACATAACCTCAAAATTTTTATATTAAATTTAAAAAATTACACTATTAGTTTCATATTAGGACTAGATATTTCCCTTGATTCTGTCTGCGCGGAACTAACAAAACTTTAGCAGACTATGTGTTCTTCCAGACTATGTTTTACATATAGCAAATTTCAACGGAATCCGTACATCCGTACTGGATATATTATACCTTCAAACATCCATCTAAGCATTCACTTAACTTACTAATATTATAAATGCGAATGTTTAGATTTATGTTTGTTTCAAGATATCTCCAGAACAACTCCATGGATCTTGCTGAAATTTGTCATACATATAGAACATAGTCTGGAAGAACACATAGACTACTAATTTATTTTTAATTCTACGCCTGAAGTCGCGAGTGACAGGTTATAATATTATTAAGAATGCTTACTCGATCTGGATAATATCTGTAATGAACAACGACATCGTCCGTGTCCTCCAAAGCACATTTGGCGCTAGTGTAGTTGAGTGAAGTTCGCTCTATTGGCGCGCAACCAATCACAGTAGAGCCATTGCGCGGGAGATCTGGTCCTTCAATCTTATGTCCTTTAAGGTTATGTCAAATTAATTAAAAAAGGAAAATTGCTCGGCTTTATTATAACTTTGGGAGATAATAATCATAGCGATTGTGGCTCAGTGGCGAAGCTAGTGTATCCTCCGTCTTACGGTGAAGGAAAACATCGTGATGCTGCACATATCTGACAAACTCATACATATGTGTGAAGTCTTGCACTGGACCAGCATTCACTATCACATAGTCTTACTTAGGGTACACTCCGAGATCCTCAGTGGGGATATATAGTGAGCTAATGATGAATCAAAGGAAGAAAATTAGTCAATGGTCCTAGCAACGAATATTTGTGATAAGCGCCTTCGAATCAATTATATCAAAATTAGTAAGAGATTTTTGATATATTTTTCTAACAGGCGCTGCGTAAATTTTAATAGAAATTTTTGTTACGACCATACATTAGAACATAGTCCTTCCTCTTAGTAAATTAGTTTTCTTTAAGTATATTTAGTATTAGAAATCTACTAAGTATCTGCCTTAGTGATTAATTATCTACTTTTAGACATAAATCGATAGAATTAGTTACAAAGTCAAGTGTCAGATGTAGTGAGGGAACATAAACGTTGACATTTTAATAAGGCTAGTGTTGCGTCACACCGGCACATCGGATTTTCTTCCTAACACTACTTAATGTCTTTATACAGTCGAAACCCCAATAGCCTTGTATTTTAGTAAGAATGGTTTAAATAATAGCAACTTAAAAAACTGTGCTATTTAAAAATAGATTTAGCTTTTTTTTATATCGTAAGATGGCAAACAAGCGAGCGGCCACCTGAAATCGCTGAAATAGCGAAGTGATCGTTGCCCATAGACATATGCATATGCGTTGCCTACCTTTAATCGACGGAGAAGAGGATGCACAGAAAGAAAATATCTTCCCTTTCCATGTATCCTCTCATCCGGAAAGTCCACTTCCGCTTCCCATCCTTTCCTTATAAGCAAAAGGGTGGGAAAGAGGACTAAATTAGGCTTCCGGGACGCACACTCATCAGGCAAATCGCGGAATTACTTCCACTTGAGACGTGTCTTCTGTGTGGTCGTGGTAATTCACTGAGCGAGGACAATTCGTGTGAAGATGTTAAAGCGGGCACTACCACTGTTATAAAAGAAGCTGTATACTTACTATTACAAAAGAAGTACTTATTCTCAGCCACATAAAGGTCTTTATCCTCTGCACTGAGACATGAGTCGTACATAACTTGAGCTGGTTCTATTTCGTCTTCACACATCAATACCCCAGTACCGTCAGGTTCTTTTGGAGCGCGGTTTGCTGGACAACGGTACATAAGACCTAAAAGTTTTAAAAACGAGGTTGTATACAATTTTACCTATACTGGCTATCACGACTCCGTAGTAAATTAAAAGAACAAAACTTAATTAGTAGTCTTAATTGTTCTTCCAGACTATGTTCTACATCTATGACAAATTTTATCGAGATCCATGTAATCGTTCTGGAGATACCTTCTAACAAACATTCATCTAAACATTCGCATTTATAATATTAGTAAGAAGTTGGCACCGTTTAGTTTCAAGTCAATCGGAGCTACTTTAGAATGATTGGGACTTAATAGTCGCAGTCCGACTCTCACATTTTTATATCTGTATATAAATCAATTGCTGTTCGTTAGTCTCGCTAAAACTCGAGAACTGAACGGATTTATATTATCTTGGTTTTAAAATGTTCGTGGAAGTTAAGGAAAGGTTTAAAAGGTGAGAAAAATTCGAATAGTTACTAGGAACTAATATTTTTTTTCATTTCACGCAGACGTAGTCGCGGGCGACAGCTAGTTTATAACAATGTATTATATAAAAGTTGAAACAATTTGTAGCATTCGTTGTGTTATAGCTCGTTCACGTACCGACACGTGTTGCCGGTCCAAAGGTCTGACATCTACTGACGTCCACTCTCCGGCATGTACTTATGGCGTATACGCTCGAGACAAACAACACCACGTTACATACACTACACAATTTAATTACCTTTACGAATAATAAGTGGTGGTTTATTTCTTATCTCAGCAATAGTGACGCCTTTCTCCCCATTCTGTATTGCCGTCATAATACGACGGTATAAAGTCGTACGACGTTCTTGTTCCGCTATAATGTAAGGTAACAACTCTTCTGATAATACGTCTACTTTCTTCTTTGCTTCTGCGTTTATCTGACAAATAAAAATCTCATTTAACAGTGGTAGAGCTCGCTTTAACATCTTCGCACGAATTGTCCCGGCTCGCTCAGTGAAATACCACGACCACACAGAAGACAGGCGTCAAGTGGAAGCGATTCCGCGTTTCGTCTGA